CCGCCGCCCGCGCCCCGGCCGCCGGGATGCGCTGGGCCCGGGTGCGGGGTTCCGAAGGGCTGGGGCTGGGTCCCGACCCCGCTCTGACCTCCCTTGGGAAGAGGGCCACAGGGAAGTGTGTCCGCACGTGGGGCGGAGCGCTCCGTTGTCAGGGGGTCGGATTGATTCAGAAACCTCCGTGCAGGCTGGCTCCCCACCCCATCGCACCCGCTCCCACCGCCCACATGCCCGCTTCCAAAAGCCCTCCGGGCTGGACCCAGGCGTGGGCAGGCGGGAGGGGGTGCGGATCGCGTCCTCTGGGCCTGGAACTCGCTCAGGAGCGCCGCGGCCACCAGCCCCCGCTGTCCAAGGCGCCGGTGTGAGGGCGCGGCCAAGCAGCCCACCTGCCGCTTAAAGCTGCTCCAGGCGCCAAGGCCTCCGTGGCCGGCAGGGTGGCCGGCAGGGTGGCCGGCAGGGTGGCCGGCTCTCAGAGGGCAGTAAACATCTGCGGAACCCACTGGAGCCCACGTGGCTGCCAGAGACCCGCCTGACCTGGGAGTCAGCATTGGGAAGGAGCTCCTCGCTGGAGCACCAGCCCTTGGGGTCCTGGCTGACACCTAACCCCACCCCCCCACACTGGCATCGCCAGGAGGGCTCGCCTTTGCTGGGCCTTGGGGGAACCAGGAGAGTGAGTGCCTGTCCTGGCCACAGCCCCAGCCACAGGGAGTCTGAGCGGCGTCCGCGCTGTGCCCAGGCAAATGGTGGCCTGGAAGATGTGAGCCAGCTTCCCTCCCTCCTCGTCCCACTGGGAGCCAGCCAGCCCCACGCAGCTGCTTCCTCACTCCTGGGCGAGGGAAGGAGCTGGGAAGCTCTCCCCGGGGCTTTCAAGCCCACTGGAGATGAAGGGCCAAACAGGAGCGGCAGGCAGGGCACGGAGGCCGAGGCCGAGGCTGAGGCTGCTGGTGGTCCCGGGCTGCATTTCCCATCACCAGGTATCTCGTGGGGGGCAACACCAGTACCCGGGCAGGCCTGCACTTTCCCTGACAAAGTGGCCTTGCTCCTTCCAGGCCTGCTAACCACCCAGGGAAATACCCTAAGTGCCACCAACATGCCACCTGTTACCAGCCCCGCCCGCCCCGCCCCACGTGCAGGATGAGGGCAGTACACTTCCACAGCAGAGAACTGTCCCACGTCAGAGAAACTGAGCATCGTTCCCACCACAGCGACCCCTGCACACACACACACCCACACACACCCCTTGGCTCTGCTTCCCAGACCAGCTAAGGGAAAGCCAGAGAGCAGTTCCAGCTGCTTCACTGGGCAAAACTGGGGTTGATGCTCTCACTCACAATCCTCTCCATCCCGTCCCCGCCCCCCAAAAAAAGTGAAAATCCAGCCAATTCCGCAATCCTGAGAACAAGGAGTGGAGCCGAGAAGGTTCAGTTTCAGGAGACAAGACTTTCCTGTTTGCTGTTCAGAGCTTGTGATTACACGTCAGTGAAAATTCAAGATAAATTGTTTAAAAATTAACATACCGGTTAGCCCTAGCCAGACTGGCTCAGTGGTTAGTGTCGGCCCTCAGGCTGAAGGGTTTCAGGTGCAATTCTGGTCAAGGCCAAGTACCTCAGTGGCAAGTTCCTCAGCTCTGGTAGGGGCGTGGGTGGGAGGCAGCTAACCAGTGTGTCTCTCTCGGCCACGTTTCTCCCCCCCTCCTCTCTCCCCCCCCCTCTCTGGAAACCAGTGGGGAGCATCCACAGGTGAGGGTCAGACACACATAAGCACGAGGCCGGGGCTGCACGCTGGTGACTCGGTCACACACTCGGGCCTGAGCTCCTCCTGAAGGCAGGGCCCATCCTGAGGACAGCTCCCTTAGCAGCATGTCCCCTCACGGCCATCGATAGCCCCACGTGACAGAGGCCCCTTTAGGGCAGGGAAGTGCTGCCTCCCACACCCCAGCCAGCGGGGCCCAGCTCCAACTGGCCTCAAGAGCAGGTGCACGTCACTGCCGGGGGCAGCCGCCCTTGAAATGAGGGGTGAGCACCCCATGTACAAGGCCTCACCGGCACTGGAAGCCTCTTCTCTGGGGGAGCCTTCCGCCAGAATCCAAATCACCTGGGGGGTGAGGGGGGTCTTAGAAAGGCAGGCTCCGGGCCGCGGCCTGGTGCTTGTACGAGTCTTTGAGCAGCCCCGGGACACAGCCTTACCGCTCCCCTGGCCTGACAGCCTGGGAGAGAGAATGTGGATCCGCAAACCCCAGCGGCAGGAAAAGGTCTCCGTGACAAGACCTTAGGGTACTTCCCGAGACCAGCACCCTCCTGGCACCATTGAGGCAGCCCCCCGCCTCCCCCCGCCCCCCACTTCCTCCACAGGGCCTCCTGGCTGGGATGGCACAGCCCAGACCAGGCCTCTTAACTTCCAGAAAGAGGCGCCACCACAGCAGAGCACCCCAAAGCTGAGGCTGCTCACAACTCTGCCGCACCCCCAGTGGGAACCAGCCAGGCTCCCCTAAGTGGCTTCTGGCCCAGCCATCCTGCTCTGTGTCACTGCCCACCAGGGACCCCCATCCTAGGTGTGTCCCCTCCTCCCACTTGATAAGCTTGGGGGGCAGGGGGTGGGGTTCACAGGAAGGACCCAACAGCAAGAGGAAGTGGCCCCCAAAGCCAACTCCCAGGCTCCCTGAGGCTACCCTAGCCCCACAGGGTCCTGCTCACCTCCCCAGAAACAAGGGTCCCCTAAAGGCTGAGCTCTGATGCCCCGGCACATTCTGGACTCTGACCGCTTTAAATGTGACAGGACCGAACCCCTGCCTGCCCCATGCTTGACATGGGGAGCTCGGGCCCTGGTCTCTGGGCCAAGGTCGCCCTTGGGAAAAGCAGGGAGGGTCAAGGAGGCTTTAGGAAGGAAAACAAACACTAAACCTCCAAGAGAGCCGTGTCAAGGGGGACATGCTGGTGGTGACCGTTCCAGCTTCCTATTCACGTCCTTTTGATCTTCAATCTCAGCGAGAAGCTCCCGGGACCGATCTGCTCCTGCGCCTCAGATCAGGCAGGTGACTCCGGGGCAGATACAAAGGAAGCTGGTCTGCGCTTCCGGCATCCTGGTGAGGGGGGGGGGGGGGCGTGAGGAGGTTCCCAGGGCATCGCCCTCAGAGAAGGCACTGATGTGTGAGGACGGAAGCCCCGCCGCCCCGCAGAGCTCGGCTCTGGTCACTGCGCCTCCCGGAGGCAGCAGCACGGGCGCCAGGAGCTTCTTCTCCAGGCAGCGAAGACCCAGGTCACTGTCAGCGGCAATTAGGCAGGAGGACAAACTAAATTGCTTCTAAATAGATCAGCATGACAATCCCTTAAAAAAAAACCCTTGCACAGTAACAGTAGCCACATGTTAGCCACTTTAATATAAAATGTGATCAAAACTCAATTACAAGAGTTCAAAAAGGCATAGAAAAACCAATGTTCCAATTTTATTACAAGATTTAAAACCTGGGAGTTTTGTGTGTTTAAGTATATGCTAATTTCAGCCCACGGTTAATATTTTACAACCAGACAGTTACTGCAGGGCACCATCAATGCAATGACAAGTCATTCACTTCCTACGCGGCCCTCAGGCAGTGGGAGAGCCAGAGCGACTGCAGCCGCAGGGAGACCTAGAAGCAACCCCCTTCCGGGAGGGAAACATGCAAACAATTCTGCTTTGGGAAATTTGCATAGAAATAGAAAATGCTAGAGCCTTCATCATGGCAAATGAAACGGCAAAGCCTCCATGAGTGCAAGGCAACCCACGGAGCAGCAAATGCTAAAGAGAAGCCACGGAAGGACCCCAGCATCTAATTTCCGGCTATGCTGCCAGCAGAGCACAAGACCCCCAGGGTGGCAGTCAGCTGAGGACAAGCTCTGTCAAACAGGGTTCTACACACCAGTCCTAAGACAATGCAGAATTTCTGCAAAATTGTGTTAGAAGGGCATAAGGCATCAGGGTCTCTCTCCAGTCACTTGGAAATCCTCGTTTTGTCAGCAACAATCACATCTGTGCAGCCTGCGGTCGCCTCCTGCAGACCTTGGCCTCTGCACCGGCAACAAGATCCCCATGAGCCCTCGTGTCCCTGTGCTGCCCTGGGTCACGCAGGAGCGGGCTGGGTCCTGCTCAGTGCCCGTTTGTTGAATGACTGCAGGACACCCAGCCACGGCATACATGCACGGAGTGACTGTCCCTGGCATCTCAACGTTTCTTTCAGCCTGAACTCTCTCCCCATCACTAGTCCCTTGTGCTCATTCTGCCCCCCAACCCCACCTGTGAAGAGACTGGGGTCTGAGCAGCAGACTTCCCACCCAGGACCTGCACAGATGCTGACATCTGGAAGCTCTATTCTACCTCATCTCCAGCTCCCCCTGCTGGAGAGACAGTGTGTTGCAAAGACTTGGAGAAGCAAGGACTATGTACATATTCATTTTGTGCATTTCCATGTAAAACCTGGACTTGTGGAGTTGCCTCCAAAGCCTTTCCTGGGGGCAGTGGAGTGCGCAGCATCGCCGAAGGACCAGTTTATTTCTAGAGGAAGAAGACAGATTAACATACATAATAACTGTCATCAAAAATTAAGACAAATGTCCAGCATCCTCCGTCTTATCGGCACTGCCATGTTCCCACCTGGAGGCGCTCAGACAAAAGTCACTGGTTTGCTTTCACTGAATAAGGAGCCCGCGTTGGCTGTACTCCTGAATTATTTATTAAAGCAAAACAGTGAGTAACGGAGCTCACACCCCCACACCCTCACACCCGCTGGATGTCAAACCCTTGTCAGTTCCCCTGGGAGCCTCACTCTCCTACTCTGCTGTGACTCCCACGAGAACTGACATTTTCAGGCAGAAAGAGTCTAATTACAAAGTGAGCGCATCCCAGTGAAGCCCTTTTACTGTGATTTCCGTTTCTGTTCAATCCACACTGCAGAGATACAAGGAAAACCACCAATTTGGTTCCCAAGTTTTATTCAAGAACTCATACAAAATTTGCCAGATAAATGAGCTTTAATCCTCATCTTCCTCCTCCTCTTCATCCTGGTTTATCTGGAAGTAACGCAATTCGTAACTCTCTTTGCTGTTAGCAACTACGCGCAACCAGTCCCGTAGGTTATTCTTCTTCAGATATTTTTTGGTGAGATATTTCAAATACCTGCAGAGAGAGGACATTGAGAACTCCTCTAAACAGCCGGCCTTCTTTATTCTCAAATACTGTAACTTTTATGAAACCCTTGCAATCAAGGTCATTACAATTCAAGGTGTTTCCCCACCTTTAAAAAAATGGCAAAGATAAGGCAAACATACGAGGCCAATGGTCTAACAATAAAGAGCCACCTTTCATGTACACTGGCAACAAAGATGAAAACAGACAAGATGTAAGAGTCGTCTGTGAAACAATAGCAAACGCCTATGAAATGATTTTGCGTGGCCACTGGAGAAGGAGTTCATGGTAACTGATAAGCACATAGCCTTAGACCTGTTGTGAGGAAGCACGGTTTCCAGTGAGCGCACATCACCTCCTGGAGTCCGACCTCCGACCTCCGTGGGAGGCTGTTCGGGCTCTGGGGCTGCTTAGGGCCGTCTCACTCTGCTCTGTGACACTCACTACCAACGCCCGGGACAGGCGGCCACCCGCCACGCTGGCCCAGCGTGCAGGGAGAGCACGCCCTCACTCACATCTCTGCTGGAGGCCTGGGTTCTATCTACTCCAGACCTCCCCCGAGCCTCAGAGAAGGGGGACTAGACAAGCAAACCCACTGCTGCGCAGTGCCCTCTCCCAGCAGCTCCTCCCTATAACAGGAGCCATGCTCTCCGACAGCTCGGACTGTGCAGAGGACAAATGAGACGCACGGGCAAACTGGCAGGTTCACAAGGTCCCGGATGCTAACGGGACAGTCACATCTCCAAGAATGAACACTGCCAACAGCGTTACGCCAACAGTCCTCTTCCCAACAACGTGAAGACCTCGGTTAAATTCTATCTGTTTCCCGACATAAAAATCACCCGTTCTGGCTGTTCCATCTAAAAAGTACTCTGTTCCTTTATTATTTCTGCTGCATGCACTCAGGGGTGTGAGATTTCGCTAGGGGGAGAGCTGCAGAAGTCCGGAGACAAGCAGAGAAAGTTAGGCTGGGAGCACCTGGGCGGGCAAAGGAAAGGACTTCGCTCACCGACAGGAGAGCTTTCAGAGGGAGGCCCCTTCCCTCGCCACGGGGCGGAGAGCAGGGCATGCGTGGAACCAGTAAGCTGTGTTGGGAGACTTTCTCACGAGGCCGGTGAGCAGAACAGGTCACGGAATGATCACAGCCCTTCCTCAGGGCCCGGGAAGCCGGCAGGCTGGCTGTGTACACCCTGGAGTCCCTCCCTGAGCTGCAACGGACCCTCTATCCAACCCATCAGCCAGGTGGAACAGAGTCCTTCACTTACGCTCTTAAGTCACCTCAACTGACCTCAGTAAAAACAAAAGGCTGTACTATAACCAATTTGTCCTCACACACCTTTGAATTTCTCACTGAGTTTGATAAAAATAAAAAATAAAAATCGCCGAAACCGGTTTGGCTCAGTGGCTAGAGCATTGGTCTGCAGACTCAAGGGTCCTGGGTTCGATTCCGGTCAAGGGCATGTACATTGGTTGTGGGCATATCCCCAGTGGGGTGTGTGCAGGAGGCAGCTGGTCGATGTGTCTCTCTCACCGATATTTCTAGCTCTATATCCCTGTCCTTTCCTCTCTGTGAAAAATCAATAAAATATTTTTTTTTAAATAATAAAAAATAAAATAATTTTTTTTAAAAAAACTCCTAAGAATATGCCCAGCTCTGAGCTAGGAGCTGCATATAAACATGCCCAAATCTTTAGCAACTTGTGTTTGTTTTAACTTCATCCTCAAAGCAATAACCAGACAGCCCTGGCCGAATAGCTGTTGGCTGGAGCATTGCTGTGCGCATCAATAAGTCGAGGGTTTGATTCCTGGTCAGGCCACATGCTCAGGTTGGGGGTGCCATCCCCAGTCGGGGTGACTACAGGAGGCAGATTGATGTTTCTCACAATGATGTTTCTGTCTGTCTCTCTCACTTCCTGTCTAAAAAAAACCCTGACATTTCAGATTCCTGATACAATGGTGGAAGAACATGGAACTAAAACAGACAGCTCCTCCCTGTGGCCGAGGCAGAGGAGCGATGCCATCCTGGGAAGGCACTCTGCGATCTGCCCTTTACTGCCGAGACACTGCCACAAAGTGAACACTAACTATCACAGAGGCATTCCTCCCTGCACCGCCCCCTGCACGGGCACCGCTCCAGTTCACAGGTGCAACTCCAAACAAATGTGACCACACCACACCCCACCCGGGTGCAGGCGAGTGGCACTCAGCTCCCCCTACCTTTTGGAAAAAGGCACCTCGGACGTCACAGTGATTTTACTCTTGCTCCTCTCAATGGTTACCACCCCTCCGCCGAGATTCCCAGCTTTTCCGTTCACTTTGATTCTCTCCTGAAGAAACTGCTCCTGTAAAAACCATCCAATTGACCAATTAGCAGTGACACCGTCACCCAGTCACCCATCTCACCGGATTGTTGTACTACTTACACTGACGTCTTTTTTTCTTCTTAATATATATTTTATTGATTTTTCACAGAGAGGAAGAGAGAGGGATAGTGTCAGAAACATCAATGAGCATCATCGATCAGCTGCCTCCCGCACACCCCCCACCGGGGAGGTGTCCGCAACCAAAGTACATGCCTCTGACCGGAACCAAACCTGGGACCCTTCAGTCCGCAGGCTGACGCTCCATCCACTGAGCCAAACCAGTTCCGGCCACTGACGTCTTTTTAATGTTTAATCTTTTGTAGAAATTAATCTTTAGCTATTAATATATGATCTAAAATCTAACATCAATTAGAAAATGGTACTATCGCCCTGGCCAGTGTGGTCACTTGGTTGAAACACTGACCTGAACACTAACGGGGTGGGTTCGATTACCGGACAGGGCGTGTGTGGAAGCAACCAACTGATGTTTCTCTCTCTCTCTCTCTCTCACGCAAATCTTTTTAAAAATATATATATATTTTGCCAAAACCAGTTTGGCTCAGTGGATAGAGCATCGGTCTCCGGACTGAAAGGTCACAGGTTCGATTCCAGTCAGGAGCATGTACCTTGGTTGCGGGCACATCCCCAGTAGGGGATGTGCAAAGAGGCAGCTGATCAATGATTCTCTCTCATCGGTATTTCTAATTCTCTATCCCTCTCTCTTCCTCTCTGTAAAAAGTCAATAAAATATATTAAAATATATTTTAATACATGCCCTTGACTGGAATCGAACCTGGCTCTATTCACCGAGCCAAACCAGTTAGGGCGCAAATCTTTTTTTTTTAAATAGCACTATTCAACTTTACTTACAAATCAAATATGAAACAAAATCCTAGCATGAACATACTTGACTGGTTCCACACAAGATCAAATGTGTGTCTACATGGAAGACACTGACTCATGGGTCAAAGATCCAGCTGACAGAAACGCCAGGGCCAAACTGCTCCAAGCAACCGAAGTTACAACCAACTTCTGAACCTAAGGAGCATGAAGCATTGTCCTCAGCAACCTAGTACAAGGAGCAAACAAGAGTGACACCATGGCTGGTGTGCAAAGGGCCATGGTTCGATTCCAGCCAAGGGCACATCCCTCGGTTGCAGGTTCCCCGCCCCAGGTGGGATGCACTGGGGAGGCAACCAATGCATGTGGCTCTCACATGGATATTTATCTCTCCTCCCTCCCTTCCACTCTCTGAAATCAATGAAAAAAATATCCTCGTGAGGATTAACCAAAAAATAAAATAGTGACCAAAACAATCCCACACGCCTGGTGCAGGCGGGGCAGGGACCCAGGAGACTGGAGACGGGTCTCAGCAAGCCCCGTGGCAGCCTCTGTGGCCTTTGGGGTCTTTGTCCAAAAAGGAATATTCTTTCTGGTTCTCTCCACCCGCCCTTTTGCTTGCTTTGGTTTTCTTTCTATTGCAATGATATGAAGTCCCTCTCAGCTGCAATTCCTCCAGTCCTCTATTTAACCCCCATCCACGATAAACTGGCGCTGAGTAAAGTGAGGAGGTCAGAACTCGACTCCTGCACCTCAGCCTCATAAGTGACGTTTTCTATCCTAGGGAGACTTCTGGAAGGAAAGACAGTCACAGGCACAGATGAGCGTAGGGAAGGGAGGAAATAAGCCTGTTCAGAGAGGAAAGTAAAATGCCAAGCCCGGGCTGCGGAGTCAGTGCAACAGGCTGACTTATTGTTCTCATTTTCCTTCTTACTCTCTCCACTCACTGGAGCTCCTAAACAGGGTTTCAACAGGCTCCTCGTTCAAGACCTGCCTTCACTGTCTTTACATTCTTCCATTCTGCTGCCTGGTTTCCCACGGGAAATCTAAATTAGAACTCATTTCCTATGCACACTTACCTAGTATTAAAGTGATGTGTTTGTGTGTTTTTTTAATGTTTTTGTTGATTTTGAGAAGAGAAATAGATAAAAACATCAATGAGAAAAACATCCTGAATCAACTGCCTCCTGCACGCCCCCTAGTGGGGACTGAGTCCCAAACCTGGGCCCGTGCCCTGACTGGGAATCTCTTGATTCATGCAGGGTCAACACTCAACCACTGAGCCACACTGGCAGGGCAAGGCTGGCTTTTCTGCATTTCAGTGAAATAGAGGACCACTGGGGAACAGGCCAAGCAGAGACAGACCTAACACCCAGCTCCCAGTACACTCAGCATGCGGGCTTTCACCGCGGGCAGCAGCTCTGGCGGGAATGACAGGGAAGTCAGCAGGCAGGGCCAGGCCGGGCCAGGCAGCCCTCGTCCCTGAGGACCAGGGTCTGTCACTTAATGCTCGGTCACACGGAGTGCAAAGGGGATGTGGAGCTGAGGACGTATGCCTGTTCCCTGGTGACTTTTGAGTAAAATCGTTTGGGGCACTGAAGGAGGAAACAAGTTCTCTGGACAGACGTGCTGTGGCCCCTGTCTGTCCGCCGCCCCTGCCGCACAGGCACCGCGCTCCGTTCAAGCGCAGCCAGACCCTGGCGCGGCCCGGACGCAGCAGAGCGAGTGCCCGGAGGTCTCGGCGCCACCTCACGGTCCATCGCTCGGCATCGAGGGCACAACTCACAAAGTTGGCGGCGTCCATGATGCCATCTTCCACGGGGTGGGTGCAGTCCAGCGTGAACTTCAGAACCTGCTTCTTTTTTTTGCCGCCCTTCGCCACGAGCTTTTTCTGAGAAAGGGACAAACAGATGACGGCACAAGCTCCCACCACGGAAAATTAAAAGAACCAAAATCAGCCAAGGTGTCAGAGCCCATTCAAATGCAAACCCGTGCTCCCTCCCAGGGCGCCAAGAGCCACCCTCTGCCCCAGAATGGGGGCAGGACGCCGGGCGAGCGGAGGCCTTTGCCAAGGGAAACCCTTCCTGAACTCTTGACCCATTTACACTGTCCAGCCTCCCGTCTCGAAGGGTGTAAAGGTCTGTTAGCTCAGTGGTCAGCAAATTTATCGGTCCACAGAGCCAAACATCAACAGCACAATTGAAATTTCTCGAGAGCCACATTTTTTAAACTTAAGCTTCTTCCATCGCCACATCTTCAACATAGACTCGCCCAGGCCGTGGTGTTTTGTGGAAGAGCCACACTCAAGGGGCCAAAGAGCTGCATGTGGCTCTCGAGCCTCAGCTTGCGGGCCGCTGTGTTAGCTTAGGAGCCACAATAAAATACTTCCCCCTCTCTGCCACGACATGCCCGTAAGGACTGATTTCACTCCAGGACTCAGGCACAGGCATACAAATGCTTACATACCTCCAACAACTCTAACCTACAATCAATGCTTGTCCTGACTCTCCAGACCAGGGTCCTGGCCCAGAGCAGCCGGTTCCCCTTACACCTGTCCCGCCAGCTCCTCAGAGCAGGGAGGTGACTTCACAGCCCAGAACCCCACACACCCCGCCCAGAGGAGGGTGAGGGAACCTCGGTTCTAGTTACAACTCCTCCGTCAACCATTTCCGGCATTTCCAAGCCATCAGCGGGCGCGTATGCTGGTCGGTCCTCGTTCCTTTAGCATCAACCTTCTCCCCGTACAAACCCCACCACCACTAACAGAGCTTTTGTACGACCTACATACCTGTCCCTCCACTCTAAAAAGCTTCTGCAGGATCTACACCCTAAAGCCCCCTTCCTGCTTCGGAGAGCTTCACCTGAAACTTGCAATAATGGGACCAACTTTTCAGACGTTCGGCCACTGCGAAAACCACTGCCTTTTCCAGGCCTCTCCTCCCAGGTACAGTGCAGAGGGCCGCTTTCAGAGCTACCCCCGGAAACACACAACCGGCAAGTTAAAAAAGTAAATAAAAATAAACCCTGCCACCAGTTTTACACCCAAAACACACAAATGCACGGACGCCTCAAAAGCCCACTCGAGAGAGTAAAGGAGCCGGCAATGCTAACAGGGGCGCCCCAGCAGGAGGGGTGGATGGAAGCCACCTTCCTCCCGGCGACCCGCAGGCGGGACACGTGGGCGCCGCGCCGCCCGGCCCTGCCAGGCCCCTGCCCGGCGCCGGGAGCCAGCCCTGCCCGGGGGGGTCCGGCCGGCTGCGCCCGGCACGACTTCCTCCTGGATCCTCCCCGTCGGCCTCTCCCCGGCCTCACACCCCCTCCGCGCACACGGCCATCGTCCCCGGCCCGGCCCCGGCTCCCGGATGCGCGGCTCCCGGCAGGGGCGGCAGGTCCCTGCTCCTCCCGCCCTCCGTCCCGGGAGCCAGGCCCAGACCCGCCGCAGGCCCCGGCCGCAGCCGCGGAGCCCGGCTTCCCGCTGGCCGCCAGCCGGGGCCCGAGCCGCGGCCTCGGGCGCTGCGGCGCTGCCTCCCGGGCCCCAGGCCGCGGCCTCCTCCGCCCACGGCGCGCGGAGCCGGGCGGCCGCCCCGGCCCTCGCCGCCCCGCCAGCCAGCCCAGCCCCGGGCGGACGCTGCCGGACGCCGTCCCACGCGGGCCGCGCAGGAGCCGGGCCCGCGAGGCCCACGTGCTCGCCCCGGAGCTGAGGCCTCACGCGGAGCCACACTCACCACGGGAGCCATGGCGGCCGCGGAGGCAGAAAGGGAGCCGAGCGCACTGCGCAGGCGCGAAGAGCCGCAGCGCGCAAGGCACGTAGGGCCCAGGCCGTACCAATCGCTCCGCCCCGCCCCTCCGTCATCGCTGCGCCCTGTTCGGTGCGATCGGGGAGCGGTTGCTTTCCCCTGTCTGCAGTGCCTGTCTGGTCGGAGGCCTGGAGGATGGGACGGGGGCTGGGTGGATTGTCTCACTGCGAGGGGTGGGCGTGGGGGAGCCCGAGCAGATCGAGCCCAAAGAGGAATAAAGGGGGACGCACTACGTTTCAGAGGCTTAGAAAGAAAAAGAAATTCACAGCCAAGCCGAGACCGGTTTGGCTCAGTGGATAGAGCGTCGGCCTGTGGACCGAAGGGTCCCGGGTTCGATTCCAGTCAAGGGCATGTACCTTGGTTGCAGGCACATCTCCAGTGGGTGGTGTGCAGGAGGCAGCTGGCAGCTGATCGATGTTTCTCTCACCGACGTTTCTAACTCTCTGTCCCTCTCAATTCTAACTCTCTATCCCTCTCAATTCTTCTTTGTGTAAAATTAATAAAATATGTAAAATTAATAAAATATATTTTTAAAAAAAGAAAGAAAGAAAAGAAATTCACAGCCGAAACCGGTTTGGCTCAGTGGATAGAGCGTCGGTCTGCGGACTGAAGGGTCCCGGGTTCGATTCCGGTCAAGGGCATGTACTTTGGTTGCAGGCACATCCCCAGTGGGGGGGTGCAGGAGGCAGCTGGTCGATGATATTGTCTCATCGATGTTTCTAACTCTCTAGCCCTCTCTCTTCCTCTCTATAAAAAATCAATAAAGCCAGGACTGGTTTGGCTCAATGAATAGAGCGTTGGCTTGGGGACTGAAGGATCCCGGGTTCGATTCCGGTCAAGGGCATGTACCTTGGTTGCGGGCATATCCCCAGTAGGGGGTGTGCAAGAGGCAGCTGATTGATGACTCTCTCTCATCGACGTTTCTAACTCTCTGTCTCTCTCCCTTACTCTCTATATAAAATCAATAAGATATATTTTTTTTAAAAATCAATAAAAAATATATTAAGAAAAAAAGAAAAAGAAATTCACTAGCATGAATTACCAGCTAATAGGATGGGAGTGGAACCCATCAACGTGGGGAGGAAAGGCCAGGCTCTTCTGGCCCTGGGGTCCCAATATCGAGGGCCCTCTGGCTTCTTCCTACCTGGCACTCAGCTGGAAGCTGGGGCTGTGTCTCCCAGTCAGGTACGCTCTCCTGTGTGACCCCTTCGCCATCTCAAATGCAAGCCGCCCTCCCACCAACCTCCTGGTTTCCAGTTCTGCCAGTGCTTCTCCAGCTGGCCTGGCGCCAGGAAGTCTCCTGGGGGCCAGTTAACATGCATAGTCCTAGCCCAGCCAGTGTGGTTCAGTGGTTGAGCCTCAACCCATGAACCCATCCTGGTCAAGGCACCTGCCAGGCTGGGCTTGCAGGCTCCATCCCCAATAGGGGCGGTGCAGGAGGCAGCCAATCAATGATTCTCTCTCATCATTGATGTTTCTATCTTCCCCTCCCCCCCTTTCCCTTCCTCTCTGAAATCAATAAAAATATTTTTTTTAAATAAAGTTGCCTAGAGAGTTCCCAGCTTTATGTTTGGGGGAACATAGTTATAAGGTGTCTATATAAAAATCTATATAAAATAAAATGCAGTCCTTGTCATTGGCCCATGCCCAGGTGCTGCTTCTGCTGCTGGTTCATGGCCCACAAGGTGAACAGCAAGGGTCTTCCCCAGGCCTACAGTCGATTGACTGTGACAAGAAGAAAAACAGTTCAGATGTTCTAAATTAAAATCACAGTGGCTGGCCCTGACCGGTTTGGCTCAGTGGATAGAGCGTCGGCCTGAGAACTCAAGGGTTCCAGGTTTGATTCCAGTCAAGGGCATGTACCTTGGTTGCAGGCACATCCCCAGTGGGGAGTGTGCAGGAGGCAGCTGATTGATGTTCCTCTCTTGTCGGTGTTTCTGACTCTCCCTCTCCTATCCTCTCCATAAAAAAATCATAAAATATATATTTTTTAAGTTTTTTTAATATATTTTATTGATTTTTTTTTTACAGAGAGGAAGGGAGAGAGACAGAGAGCTAGAAACGTTGATGAGAGAGAAACATCGACCAGCTGCCTCCTGCACCCCCCCCACCGGGGATGTGCCCGCAACCAATGTACATGCCCTTGACCGGAATCGAACCCGGGACCTTTCAGTCCGCAGACCGATGCTGTACCACTGAGCCAAACTGGTTTCGGCTATAACATATATTTTTTTTAATAAAATAAAATCACAGCGGCTGGGAGTGAGAGCAAGAGAACAGTTACCCTGCTAATAGCTGTGGCCAGCTCTGACAAAGAAAGGACTCCTCATGTTCCCTTCTATCTGTTCAAATTTAGGGCTAATTTCCAGGTGGCTATTTCCAGGATTATTGACTCCTAGGCCCTCTGCTTATTTACACATGAACTTTCCCATCTGCTGCCCACAGCCAATCCATAGCGGGGACCCTTCTTCCCAGCAGACTCTGCTGAACTGGCCCCAACTGGCCCCAACTGGCCCCACTTCTTTCCGGTAAATTCATTCCAGCTCCTGGGAACTTGTACTGGCTGCTCCCTCTGCTCCGAACTCTCCCTGGCGTGTCCAGTGCCTGATTTCCCTTCACCCACCAGGGTCTCGCTCTCTCTGCTCATGGCTGTGTAGTGTGCTCCCCCCGCTCCCAGCCACCCTCCTTCACATCATCCCGATTCTTCTCCTCGGAGCCTGCCGTTATTGTACTTGTTTATTCGTGTGCATGGGTGACCTTGGCCGGTGTGTTCCCTCCTGTGTGTCTGACCCACGACAGACGCTGAGGGAATGCTGTCCACATAGATGAAGACAGGAATGGACAGACTAAATAAGCCAGTATCGGGAACAAACACCCCCTCTGCTGCCCCTCCAGGGGGAAGCTACTGCGCCAGCCACTCATGGAGGACTCGCCAGGGTAACATTTTCTGCCTCGATAGGGTTGTTGTCAGGATTAACGAGTGAAAGAACTTTGACTGCTACATTGTCCCATAAACATTAGCCATTGCTACTATTTTTTAAATATATTTTTATGGATTTCAGAGAGGAAGGGACAGGGACAGAGAGAGAGATAGGAACTTCAATGATGAGAGAGAATTGGGGATCAGCTGCCTCCTGCACGTCACCATTAGAAGGATTGAGTCCCAAACCTGGGCATGTGCCCCGATCAGGAATCGAACCATGACTTCCTGGTTCATAGGTCATGCTTAACCACTAAACCACAGCAGCTGGGCTAGCCATTATTATTATCACTATCATCATCATCATTATGGCTTGGGGCAAAAATGAAACCAGGGCTAGGGATGACCCTTAAAAGAGCAGGTAGTTTCTGCCTAGAATTCACTTCCTTTCTTCCCCCCTGGCAAACTCCTACACATCCTTCAAAACCCAGCTCGGATATTATCTCCTAGTTTTTTCTGATTAGTAAGAGTTTATTGAGCCAAAACCGGTTTGGCTCAGTGGATAGAGTGTCGGCCTGCGGACTGAAGGGTCCCGGGTTCCATTCCGGTCAAGGGCATGTGCCTTGGTCGCGGGCACCTCCCCGGTCGGGGTATGCAGGAGGCAGCTGGTGGGTGTTTCTCATCAATGTTTCTAGCTCTCTATCCTTCTCCCTTCCTCTCTATAAAAAAATCAATAATATATATATTATATTTAAATATATTTTATTGATTTTTTTACAGAGAGGAAGGAAGAGAGATAGAGAGCTAGAACCGTCAATGAGAGAGAAACATCGACCAGCTGCCTCCTGCACAACCCCCACTGGGGTTGTGCCCGTGATCAAGGCACATGCTCCTGACAGGAATGGAACCCGGGACCCTTCAGTCCGCAGACCGACGCTCTACCACTGAGCCAAACCAGTTTCGGCAAATATATATATATATTTTAAAGAGTTTATTGAGCACTTTATGTGGGACAAGCTCTGGGCTTGGCTCTTTGATTTCAGGACGGGCAGGGGCTGTTTTCCCCGTGCTCAGCGTGCAGAGAAAGCAGACCATGACCCAGGGTGAAGGGCATTCTGGAGGAAATCATCCTCGGATGAAGAAGCGCTCCCCGGGCCTAGATGGGCAGAGGGGACCTTGCAGAAAAGGTGGGCCTGCTTCCTTGGAAGCCTAGTCTTTGAATTTTACTTCCTGAAAGCCTCACCCCATCACTGGGAGGCCTGCCCTCTTCTTCCCAAACTCGGAGGTTCTGAAGGTCCATAACCTGGCTACGCCCTCCCGCGCCCTCGCCGGTACCGGCCGTCTGTGGGGGCGGCACTGCTCTCTGGCGCCCCCAGTGGGCCGCGTTGGAACTGGGGCCACCAGGACCCACTCCTGCCGGCTCAGGGCCGATAGATACAGCCCCGCGGGCTCCGGCGGCTGCGAACTCAGGGTCCTGTCTGCCCGGTGGGGCCTCGGACCCTCGCGTGGCGCATCCTTCAAAGTCGCGATGTCGCCGCCTCTCCTCCGTCCAGACTGGGAGGCCGTGGCCGGGGCCGGACCCCACGAGCCGGGCAGGTGGGCGGGGGCACCGCGCGGGAGGGGCGTCGCCGGCGGGTCACCCGGAGGACGGGCGGATTCCTGGGGTGGGGGTGCGGGAGAGGTGGAGGGGGAGGGAGCGGGGCCGGTCCAGCCGCCTGACCTTCCAGGGTACCGCGGGGTGCGGGCGAGGCCGGAGCGCGGGCCCCGGATCGACCTCCGCCCGCCGCCTGCCCGTCCCCCGCGCCCCGCGCCCCGCGCCCCGCGCCCCGCGCCCCGCGCCCCGCCCCTGACCGCCGCCGCCCCGCGCGGCCGGGCACCCCCGCCGGCGGATGTCGGGGGCCATCTTCGCGCCCCTGGAGGGCCCGGGCGCCCCGGACGCGGCGGGCGGACACCCGCTCGTGTGCCCGCTGTGCCACGCGCCGTTCGAGCGCCCGTGCCTGCTGGACTGCTTCCACCACGTCTGCGCCGGCTGCCTGCGGGGCCGCGCCGCCGACGGCCGCCTGGCCTGTCCGCTGTGCCAGTGAGTCCGCCCGGGGCCCGGGGCCTGCCCGGGGAGAGGGGCCGCCTGGCCTGTCCGCTGTGCCAGTGAGTCCGCCCGGGGCCCGGGGCCTCCCCCGGGGAGAGGGGCCGCCTGGCCTGTCCGCTGTGCCAGTGAGTCCGCCCGGGGCCTCCCCGGGGAGAGGGGCCGCCTGGCCTGTCCGCTGTGCCAGTGAGTCCGCCCAGAACCCCGACCTCCCCCGCGGAGAGGGGCCCCCTGGGGGGACCCAGAGGCGGGCGGGCCGGGCTTTGACAATGGCGGCTCCGGCCTCACCTCCCTGCGGGGGAAGGCAGGGCTCCGGCCCATGCTGCAGGTCAGATCCGCTCCACCCTGGGCTCCCACAGAAAGTCAGGGGCCAGGGTGGATGTCACCTCCGGACTTCGTGCTACTGGAGCACCCCAACCGAGCACCGCGCCAAACCCTCACTCAGGGGTCCCGGAAATCCCCCAGGCCCTCACTCAGGGGTCCCGGAAATCTCCCAGGCCCTCACTCAGGGGTCCCTGAAATCTTGGGTCAATAGGAGCAGGGGATGCCGGCTGGGTCACGGGGCATGGCCGTAAACTCCCCGAGGCCCTGAGAGGGGCTGGAGGGCGGACTCTCGCCTGGTCATCCCAGGTCCCGGCCCCTGAGCTCCCAGGACTCGCCCAGGACGGGGTCAGAGTGGGCAGTGACTGGGATATTTATAGCAGATGCCAGCCTGCTGGGCGGCACCCACCCCCCACCCTATTTTTAGTTCCCGGCTGGAAGGGGGGGGGCCTGGGGAAGGGGCCTCTGATCTGGCTGCACCGGCTCCGCAGACACCAGACGGCGGTGAAAGGCCCCAGCGGGCTCCCCCCGGTGGACCGGCTGCTGCAGTTCCTCGTGGACAGCTCTGGGGCCGGCCTGGAGGTGGTGCGCTGTGCCAACTGCGACCTGGAGTGCGGCCTGCAGGCAGGGCCCGGGAGGCGGGCCCGGGAGGCGGGGGCCCGGGGAGGCGGGGCCCGGGAGGCGGGGCCCGGGGAGGAGGGACCTGGGGAGGAAGGGCCTGGGGAGGAGGGCCTTGGGGAGGCGGGGGCCTGGGGAGGGGCCTGGGGCTGGGGCCTGGGGAGGGGGGCCTGGGGCAGGCAGCACGCCTTGGAGGGGAGAGGCGTGGGAGGGGCAGGCAGGGGGTGGGGAGTCAGGGGCCCCTAGGAGGAGGCAAGGGCGCCAGGTCGCAGGGTCCTGATGCTGGCGGAGTGTACCCATCAGGGGGTCCTCCACCACCTCCTTAAGTCACCCCGGATTCCAAATATGGGGAGACAAGAGTGACCAGCTCATAGGCAGGTTAAGGCCACTCACTTTGGGGAGAGCTTCCTGGTCCCCAACTCAGAGTGGAGCTGAGAACCGGCAGGGGAAGGGGGTCTCACTGCTACCTGGGCAGCTGTGGGCAGCCCCCTCAGCCCTAAGGGAGGTGGGGACTGTGTGCAGTGGGGAGGGGTGACCCTGCCCTGAGTCTGAGGAAAAGCACAAGGGGCTGGGGGCCCAGGGACTCTGGCGAGGGGTGGTGGGGGTGGTAATTCCCAATTCCGAGAGGACGGCCCTACAGCTGGGAGGAGGGGGTGCGGGCCAGCGCTGGGACAGGTATGACGACCAGCTGGAAGTAAGGAGAGCAGCGGAGGAAACGCCCTTGAATGCCAACGTCAGCACTTGTGCTTCAGCAGCCTTTGTTGTGGTCAGTGCCATGCTGCTGTCTGTTCCTGCCCCGGACTCTCAGCCCCGGTCTGGCCTGGGAAAGGGAACCAGCAAGCCCTCACCCCCTTCCCCTCCCAGCCACCTCTGGCCCCCACGTGGCCAGGGCAGGCACCGACTTTTGGCTACTAATGAGGGTGACAAGGAGGTCTGCACTCACACACACACACACACACACACACACACACACACTCACACACTCACACAAACACACACCTTTGTTGTAGGTGAAATGTTTTGCAAATGCGTTTCTGCCCTCTCTCCAATTGCATGTAACCGCCTCCCCTAGCCCATCCCAGGCACCTGTCCCATAGGGAGCCTCGTTCCGCCTCTGAGCCTCGGGGTTCTCATCTGTAAAGTGGGTACATTACAGGGTCTCATTGCATGTAAGCGCCGCCCGGAGCTGCGCGCCGCCCGGGCTGGGACTGGCAGGCTCCGGACGCGCAGCGACCGCCGTCCTGCAAGGCGGCACGGGCTGAGGCTCCCGGCGGAGGAAGGGGGGGGCGGGGGGCGGGGGCTGAGCCGGCGCCGGGCCCGCAGGACGCGGACACCACCTACTTCTGCAACACGTGCGGGCAGCCGCTGTGTGCGCGCTGCCGCGAGGAGACGCACCGCGCCCGCATGTTCGCGAGCCACGACGTCGTGGCCCTGGGCCAGCGCAGCCGCGACCTGCTGCAGAAGTGCGGTGAGCGCGGCGGGCGGGGCGGGGGCGGCCGAGAGGGGGGCACGGGCCGGCGCCGCCCCAGCCTCACCCCTCCCGCCCCCTCCCCAGCGCTGCACGCGGAGCCCTACATCATGTTCTCCACCGACACCAAGGCGCTGCTGTGCATCCGCTGCTTCCGGGACATGCAGGGGTGGGTAGGGGAGCGGGAGGAGGGGCGCGGGCGAGGCTCTGAGCCGGGCTCACGGGAGGCCCCACAGGGAGAGCCGAGCGCACTGCGTGGACCTGGAGTCGGCCTACGTGCAGGGCTGCGAGCGGCTGCAGCAGGCGGTGCTGGTGAGCCGGTCCCTGCGCCCCCGGGGCGGGGGGAGGCGGGTCCCTGCGCCCCCAGGACGGGGCTGGGGCGGGTCCCTGCGCCCCCGGGCGGGGCTGCGGACGCTGCGCTTGCCCCCGGGGCTGAGGCCGCCCGCCCCCAGGCCGTGAAGGCGCTGCAGGCGGCCACGCGCGAGGCCATCGCGCTGCTGCAGGCCATGCTGGAGGAGGTGCGGCGCAGCGCGGCGGAGGAGGAGGCCTCCATCCACTCCCTGTGCGGCAGCCTGCAGGTGAGGGGGGACCGGCCCAGACAGAGGGCGCCCCCCAGAGCCCTTGCGGAGCTCCCGGCACCCGCAGGGCAGGCGGCCTTGAACTCCCAGGCGTGGCCACAGTGGCCAGGAGAGTTCAGAGGGAAAGCAGGGCGGAGGTGGGTGGGTGGGTGGATCGTGGGGAAGGCAGGGGAGACAGGAATGACATTTATGGGGAGGGCACTGGGCTCTCAGGCAGGGGGCGCTGCAGGTGGTGGGGCTGGTGTTGGAAAGGGCGCCCGCCTAGCCAGTGTGGCTGGCCCAGGGAGTGGACGTGGTAGGAGGGGGGTGGGAGGGGGCCGGGCTGGGGATGTGATCAGTGCAGCCTTCCCTCCAGGACAAGCTGGCGGAGAGGAAGGCGCTGCTGCTGCAGGCTGTGCAGAGGTGAGTCCCTGGCTTCCACACTGCCCCTCGGCGCCACACCCCTGGCTCTCAGCCCGGCCCCATTCCAGGGAGCAAAACACCAGGTGCCCACCATGAAGAGGGCAGGGGGTTCAGGGCACGGCGAGGGGAGCGTGGCAGGGGAGGATGCTCCCAGCTGGTGGGGTGATGGGACCCCTGGGTCCGGCCCCCTGGGGGTGAGAAGCCCTCCCCCTGGGAGCTGAGGCCGCTGCCCCTCCCCCAGCCAGTATGAGGAGAAGGACAAGGCCTTCAAGGTGCAGCTCTCCCAGCTGGCCACACTGCTGCCCACCCTGCAGGTAAGGGAGCTGGGGCGCGGGGCTGGGCACTCTGGCACAGAGCGCCCCTCCCAGGCCGGGCACCAAGCAGTGTCCCTCACGCAGGTTCACCTGGTCATCTGCTCCTCCTTCCTCAGCCTGGCCAGCAAGGCTGAGTTCCTGGACCTGGGCTATGTGAGTCCCCAGCCCCTGTGGGGCCTTCCCCTCCCACACGGGGCTTCCCAGGCCACCACCGAGGGCTGGCAGCCTGTCCCCGGGTGGCTGGACCTGGGTCTATGGGCTCGCCTTCCCCTCTTCCATACCCTCACCCACAAACTGGTTAGGGAACAGCTGATCCCATCCTAGGTCCAGCAAGGGGCTGGACCTAGTGGTTCCATCACCCCCACCAGCTCTGGTGTGGCTCAGTGGATAGAGCGTCTGCCTGTGGACTGAAGGGTCCCAGGTTTGATTCTGGTCAGGGGCATATGCCTGTTTGCAAGCTTGATCCCCAGTAGGGGGCGTGCAGGAGGCAGCCGATCAATGATTCTCATCATTGATGTTTCTGTCTCCTTTTCCCTTCCTCTCTGAAATAAATAAAAATACATTTATTAAAATAAGCCCTAGCTGGTTTGGCACACTGGATAGAGCATCGGCCTGCTGACCAAAGGGTCCCGGGTTTGATTCTGGTCAAGGGCATGGACCTTGGTTGCAGGATCCTCCTCAGCTTGGGTCCTGGTAGGAGGGTCATGTAGGAGGCAACCAATCGGTGTGTTTCTCTCACATGGACATTTCTGTCTTTCCTTCTCCTCCATTCTTTCTCTCTAAAAAAAAAAAAAAAAAAAAATCAATGGAAAAATATCCTCAGTGAGGAATAACAAAAAAAATTTAAATAAAAAATATACCCTAGATAATAAAATTCTAATATGCAAATTGTAACGGAAGAAGTGACCAGCGGAACAACTGGTCGCTATGATGCACACTGACCGCCAGGGGGCAGACACTCAACGCAGGAGCTGCCTCCTGAGGTCAGTGCGCTCCCTCTGGGGAGAGCTGCTCAGGCTGCAGCCGGGCTCAGGCTGTGAGTGCAGCGGTGGTGGCGGAGCCTCTCCCGCCTTCGCTGCAGGGGGCAGTAAGGAGCGGGGGTCCCAGACAGTGAGAGCCCCTGACTGCGAGAGGGAGTCTGACTGCCCGTCTTAAACGGGGAATCGGGCCTAAGCCAGCAGGTGGACAGCCCCCGAGTGGCTCCGGGTTGTGAGAGGGCATAGGCCAGGCTGAGGGACCGCCCCCTCCCCCAGTGCACCGCCTCTAGTATTTAAAATAGAAAAGTAAGTACAAGGACGGCACAGCCTGAAAGGCCAGTATAAGCCGCTGCTCCCCCAAAGTGCAGCGTCTAGTGGCGTCCAGCCACCCAATCTTTCCCGGAGGCCTGCCCCTCCCTATGATCCTCTCACCACGCGTGTACACACACACGCTCACACACTCACACGCTCACTCACACGCTCACACACACACTCACACACTCACACTTACACTCACACACGCTCACACACACTCACACACTCACACACACACGCTCACACACACACTCACACGCTCACTCACACGCTCACACACACACTCACACACTCACACTTACACTCACACACGCTCACACACACTCACACACTCACACACACACGCTCACACACTCACACACACACTCACACACACGCTCACACACACTCACACACACACACACTCACACACACTCACACACATGCTCACACTCACACACACAGTCATACTCACACTCACACACACACTCACACACACGCTCACTCACACACACACACACACACACTCACACACACACACACTCACACACACTCACACACACACACACACTCACACACACATACTCACACACACACTCACACACACTCACAGCCTGAGCGCCCCCCCCCCCAGGAGCTGATGGAGAGGCTGCAGGGCATCGCCACGCGGCCGCACCGCCTCCGGCCGGCGCAGAGCAGCAAGGTGGGTGCGGGCGCCGGTGAGGGGTGCGCGGGCCGCCCCCACCCCCACCCCCACCCCCACCCCCACCCCCACCCCCACCCCCCCCACCCCACCCCGGTCCTGGTCAGACCGTGTCTCCGCCCAGATCATCAGCGACCACCGCGCTGAGTTCGCGCGCTGCCTGGAGCCGCTGCTGCTGCCGCCGGGGCCGCGCCGCGCTGCGGGTGCTGGGGGCCCCAGCACGTGAGCGACACCCCTCCTGCCCCCCTTCCCCCTCCGCCCCCCTGCCCCCCCTCCTTCATCCCCCCCCCCCCCGCAGGGCTCCCTGGAGGCCAGGACTGGCTGGGCGCTGCCGTCCACCGGGAGCCCGGTCAGGGCAGGACTCTGTCCGCAGCCTGGGCGCTGAGGGCAGGGCAGCTGGGGGGGGGGGGGTCCCCCAGGCCGGAAGCCTGGAAGGAGTGAGGGGAGGCTGTGCCCAGGGCCGCGGGGAGGGCTCAGCGTTTCGGGGCCAGCCTGACAGTCTTGTATGGACCCTCCACATTGACATCACCTGAGGGTTTAACATCCCCTGCGGTGTCACTGGTCCTGGGTGCGGATTTGCATCCGCTTTTCTGGGGCTCCCAGGGTGATGCTGGGTGCAGTCTGGGGGGAGGGGGCTGGGGCCTGGGGGAGGGGAGAGCCGCCCTCCCAGCCCCCCAGCCCCCATCTGCATCCGCGCTGGCTCTCGCCCAGGTTGGCAGGGGTCTCAGGCCCCAAGGTGCTGGTGCCCAGCTGCCCCTCCCCGGTGGGGAAGCTGTTGGGGGCCCCGGTCCAGAAGCCCACGCTGCACCGGGCCATCGGCACCAAGGTGCTGCTGGCGGAGGGCGAGGACACGCCCTTCCTGGAGCACTGCCGCCGCTACGAGGACTCCTACCGGGTGAGGGCCTGGGGGCCGGGCGGGAAAGGCCCTCCCCTCCTCACGGAGGTGGGGGTGGTCGGAGGGGGTGAGCGGGGGCCACCCGGGAAGCCAGCTCTCCTCTGAGCCCCGGGAGGCAGGGCCTGCAGGAGCCCCAGGCGCTCATGGGAGGCCCGCCCGCAGCGCCTGCAGGCGGAGATGCAGAGCCTGAAGGACCAGGTGCAGGAGCTGCACCGGGACCTCACCAAGCACCACGCGCTCATCAAGGCGGAGATCATGGCGGACATCCTCCGCAAGGCCCTGCAGGTGGACGCGCAGATCGCCTCGGAGTACGCCTCCGCGGAAGGGATGAGGGCAGCCTTCCAGGAGGTACCCCTGCCCAGGACCTCGCTCCCGGCCGCTCACCCCTCAGCACGCACACGGCGACCCCCAGACAGGAGGGGGGAGAAGAGGGCATTGGCTGGTTGGTGGGGGGAGGTCTTTGCTGCCTGGAACCCCGTGGACTGGCTGGGGTGCCTGTGGCTCTGGGTAGCTGGGGGACAGGAATGCCACCAGTGGAAATTCCAGCTCACACCACACGCATGCCCCCCTACTTTCTCTTTCAGATGTGGGCGGAGTCCTACCAGCGGGTGGCTAACCAGCAGGAGATTTACGAAGGTCCCAGGCAGCTGCTGCTGGGGGCACCCTGCCCCAGAGCTAACCCACGCCCCGTAGGGCAGAAAGGCAGTTACCCACTAACCAGACACAAGAATCCCTATGCTCTTCCCTTAGCCCTTGGTTTGGCCTCCCAGCTGCTAACTGGCCCCCTCACGATGCACCTGGGGCCAGGATCCAGTGAGGAAAAGGCCCTCCTCCTCAAGTCTGACTCCGCTCTTTAAGGAGTGAAGTAATGAGGGAGGGGAGTGGTTGGGATGCTGTGATGGTGTGAAGCCGCGGGGGGGGGGGGGGGGTCGGGGGTGTGTGTGTGAGAATCTGGAGGCAGTGAGACCCAACACTCTGGCCTTGGCCCCACAGCCCAGCTCTATGACCTCCTCCAGCTGAAGCAGGAGAACGCCTACCTGACCACCATCACCAAGCAGATCACACCCTACATCCGCTCCATTGCCAAGGTGAAGGAGCGGCTGGAGCCCAGGTGAGCGGGGTGGGGGTGGGGGGTGTCCTCAGGGGAGCCCAGACACTTCAGAATGTGTGGGAAAGGTGCCACATACCAGGAAGAGCCCTCCATGAGGCCGGGTCATGAGGTTTGAGCGGGGCACCTGGATGGCCCAGGTGCTGGACCATCTGCCGAAACACAGAATGAGTGGGTTGCCCTGAGTTCCTGCTTCTAGGCACACGATCTCCCGCCCTCTGGCTCTCGCGAGTAGGTCAGAGCAGAACACGCTTTATGGGAGAGTGGTGAGGGCCCTCCGCTAACCCAGCAGGACATGGAGAGCGCAGACCTTCCTCTGTGCACAGTCACTCTGGACAAGGAGCCACACCGGCTCCCAGCACCAGGCAGGAGCTTGGAAAGGTGTTCCAGTGGCAGAGGGCTCCTCTGCAGGTCCTCAGTGTGCCCACCTCTTCAATCACAGCCTCCAGGTGGCTGGTGGTTCTTTACGTCTGGTGCACAGGAGTCAGCCTCAGCTCTCCATCCATTACGCTCCTGGGGATCCATTTGCCTCATTCCTGCCAGATCTCCTGTGTCTTACATCTCATTTGCCTATTTTTTTTTCTCTGATTCTGCTTTATTGGCCGGTGGGGAAGCTGGCGGGGAGTCAGGGGAGGCTGTGCCCAGGGCCGCGGGGAGGGCTCAGCGTTTCGGGGCAAGCCTGACAGTCTTGTATGGACCCTCCACATTGACATCACCTGAGGGTTTAACATCCCCTGCGGTGTCACTGGTCCTGGGTGCGGATTTGTGTGTATATATATATATATATATATATATATATATATTGATTTTTCACAGAGAGAAAGGGAAAGGATACGACCGGAATCGAACATGGGGGCAGGAAGGCAGTTACCCACTAACCAGACACAGACTGATGCTCTATCTACTGAGCCAAAACGGTTTTGGCTGCCTATTTTATGTTTTTAAAAATATATATATTTTATTGATTTCAGAGAGGAAGGGAGAGGGAGAGATAGAAAAATCCATGATGAGAGAGAATCATTGATTGGCTGCCTCCTGCATGCCCCCCCACCGGGGATTGAGCCTGTAAAACAGGCATGAGCCCTTGGCTGAAATCGAACCTGGGACCCTTCAGTCCACAGGCCAACACTCTATCCATTGAGCCACACCAACCAGGGCCCTTGAGTGTCTGAGTTTGGCTCTTGTGCAGAGTGAGCTTCGGGACGCAGTGTTGGGCTCTGCTTCCTCTGCAGGTTCCAGGCGCCCGTGGATGAGGAGTCAGAGCAGCTCCAAGACCCCAGTGACGACAGCACGAGCGACGAGGCGCAGGCCAGGTACAGCTGCTTCCCGCCCTGGGCGGAGCAGCAGTGATGGGGAGCACTCTGGGAGCACTGCTGTCATTGGAGCCTCGGTGCTGACAAACACTGCTGGAGGGAGGAGGGCAGTAAGACAGGCACAGGCACGGTGGGCTCTCCGCTTCCCCTCGGGGTGAGACGTGCCATGGGGTGGGGGCAGAGAGCGGAAGTGGAGGGTCAGAGCTGAGAGAGCCCGGAGTCCTGGCAGGTCTGCTGCCGTGGCTGGAGACACTCGCGCGCGCGCGCGCGCGCACACACACACACACACACACACACACACACACACACACACCAGGCGCCACGGTTCGTTCCGATGCTTCAGGGGAGTGACCTGAGCTGCTGAGAGCCGAGCTGCTGTCTGGGCAGCTACCTCTCGTCATAAGTGAGCTAACCCTGAAGGAGGCCATCGCTCTGGCTCTGATGATGCAGTCACCGTGCGGCCTCCTGTTCCGAAAGCCCGGGCCGGGTGGATGCCAGCGCTGGGCACGGCGAGGCGGGTGGCAGGGGGCGCCACAGGCTAGAGCTCACGTCCACGATCTCCCAGGAGTGACCCGGTGCGCGGGGCGGACAAGAGGGAGACGACCTCAGAGCCAAGAGGGAACGGCCGGACCCCGCACGGCCTCACGGAAGAGCCTCCGCTGCAGAACAAAGATCCTCACAGACCCAAAGTGCGGAACGGGGGTGACGTCCCCCCGCGGAGGGAGCGCCCCGCCTAGCAGACGGGGCTGGTCCGGGGCGTGGGCTGTCACGGCAGGTGGGTGAGCTGGGCCTGTAAGAAAAGCGCGCTCCCACCGCGATGTTTCACCGGGTGAAGGGGGATCGCTTATCGGCAATAACACCCAGAAACTCCCGGGTCCTCATTTCAGTCCCGTGTTCACGTGACACAAAGTCTTGGTGCTCATCACGGGGACAGGGGATGAGTCCTAGCCCACATGGTTGTTCAGTGAAGGGACACCCAACCCAACTGGTGTGGCTCAGTGGTTGAGCATCAGTCTATGAACCAGGTCACAGTTTGATTCCGGGTCAGGGCACATGCCCAGGTTGTGGGTTCTGTTCCCAGTAGGGGGAGTGCAGGAGGCAGCCAATCAATGATTCTCTTGCATCATTGATGTTTCTCTCTCTCTTCCTCTTTGAATCAATAATAAATATCTACAATGATAGAGAAAGATGCAAATTGACTGTCCCTCCGTGATGCCCACCAGCCAATCAGGAGTGAGGATGCAAATTAACCCAACAAAATGACAGGCTAATTTGCATATGCAGGCATGGAGAGGAAGACAAGGCTCCACCCGGCCGAAGGCTGAAGGCTCCACTGCGGCCAGAGCCAAGCCTGAAGGCTGAAGACTTGGCTCCGCTGCAGCCCAGGTCCCGGTGCTGGAGGAGAACCAGTGCCAGCAGCCAGGGGAAGGAAGGCCTATTGCACAAATCTTTGTGCAATGGGCCTTTAGTTTTAAATAAATAAAGCAATATCCAGCCTCAGGCCTCTCCCTGGCCCAGCCCCTCCCCAGTTCCTGTGCTACCCTGTGTCAGAATTACTGGCGTGCCCGGAGGGGCAGACCGCTCTGGCAAGATTCCATCCTCAGAGAAAGCCAGTTTCTCCTGAGTCACAGCTCCACGGTTAACCGAGTGTAACCTGTGCACTGCTCAGCAGAGGGAAACCCCGTGCCTGGCTTCCTCCCTCCCAGGCGAGGGCTGAGCTCCAGAGCAGGTGCGAAGCGGGGCTCCTTCGCAGGGTGCTGCCTGCACCTGTGCTCGCCTTCTGCTGATTATTGAAGCAGATTCAGCAGCAACTTGTCTCTGCTAGCTTCCCATTCCTACACAGGACCCTTTCTGCAAGAGGAACTGAATGTTCTTTAAAACAGAAAATTGTCCTGGCTGGTGCTGCTCAAGGGTTAGAGCATTGAGCATCAGCTTGTGCACGCAAGGGTCCAGTGTTCAATTCCTGGTCAAGGGCACATACCTGAATTGCAGGTTCGATCCCCAGCCCGGGTCGAGGTATGTGTGGGAAGCAACCAATTGATGTGTCTCTCACATCAGCGTTTCTCATGCTCCCTTCATTCTCTAAAAAACTCAAGTCAATGGGAAAAATGTCCTCATGTGAGGATTAACACACATAAAAAAGGAGCGTTAACCTACAGGACCTAAAATTTAAAGTTTTGAGGCAAATGTGCCTGGAAAGTCACATTTTAAGCAAATGCCCATCTCGAGTCAGAGGTTCCAACAGCCAGTGGCTTTTCTGCACCAGCTGGGCTTGCACGTCAATATGCCAACCCCCTGGACCTGCCGCCTCAGGGTCTGCCGTGCCCGTGCCAAGACCTCGGGAGCCTGCAGGGAGCAAGCGCCGGGCACCACCAACTGCTCGGAGGCAGGACCGCAGCTCGGAGGGGAAGACACCCGGCTGACGCTGTAGATCCTCTCCTCTCTGAGCCGAGCGGCAGGGCCTGGAGCGGCCACACCCACACAGTCACACTGCTCTTCGTAGTGAAGCTGAGCACAGTTTTATTTCAGATTTGGAAAGAATATCAGTTTCTGTGAGAGAAAATCCAATTTAAAATATTTAAACATTTCTGCATGTAGGAAGAAGAGGAGAATAATTACTCAGTAAGTTCTCCTTGCTAGGCTGGCTTCCCCAGAGCGGCCACCGGTGACCGGGCTGGGACGGCCAGTCCCCCAGGCCGGGAGCTCTCAGAGCAGGTCCCACCGCGTAGCGATGCCAGGCTGCCTACCCTGGCCACGTCTCTAAGCAAACACGGTGGGAGGTGGCAGCTATCTAAGGCAGTGGGTGGGAAAGTGCAGAGAAGGGTCAGTGGGTAGCTTAGTGCACCGTGATGGAGCGACTGTTACCAAAGATGAGCTGTGGCCGAAGCCTCACTGTGCCACACCTATGGATGAGATGTATTACTGGTTTGGGAATACTTCCCGTCAGTCACCCCCGGAGCTGAAAGGATGGGAGGGCCGGTGGCCTGCACTCCGAGGCTCCAGGAGCAGCGCACCCGGAGGGGCTGTGGGAGCTGCCTCCTGCCTCCCGCCGGCCGGCTCTCCCTCGTTATTCTGTGCGCTGCCTCACAGCGTTATTCTGCGCGGGCCTGTGTCCCCGTAAGAAGCCGCAATGGGAGGAGAAATCTCCTGGCGGTTTAATTCGAGGGCAGTGGCTATGGCCTTGGCCCAGGTAGCGTGGGGGGGGGGGGGGGGGAGGGAAATACCCAGACAGAAAGCCTGCACCTCATTAACCTGATTCCCTGCCCTGCGGCCGTCCTGCTACATCTGAGAGGTTAAAAATAACCGACAACCCAGGACCGGATGAAAGCCAGCCACTTGCCAAACCCTGTCCCTCCCCGGCTTACCTTCTATCCCCAGGTAACCGCAGGCAAGCAGGCCGCCCACCCGCCCGCCCGCCCGGGATTGCAAAGGAGGGCGCCATGTTCTCCCCGCCTCTCCCTGCCCTGGAAAAGCTCAGCAGAATGCCAGCCCCCAGGCCTGAGCCCCTGAACTCCGGCGGGGGAGGGGAGAACAGATCATCACACAGACACCCCAGAGCCGGGCCCTCAGAGCCGCTCTCAGGAGACAGGTCCACGGCCCAGGAAGTGTCATCAGATGTGGCTCCACGCGGCAGGAAGTTAACCTCAAAGAGCCGGGGTGGCCGCCCACCCGCCCTCATCCTGCAGTCCTAGCGGAGCGGCCTGGGGGACAGGCTGGCCCGGACCGACAGCGGCGTGGCCGTCTGCCCACACGCCCTGCTGAGGCCCAGGGCGGGGGCCTGGTCCTCACACCGCAGTCTGCGAACCCGCACCTCTTTGGTACATACAATGAGGGAAGGACGAATGAGGCCGTGACATCTAGAAATGAATACTATTTGAGTGGTAAATGCTCTTGCACACACATTCCGGCCTCTGGTACTGTTAACCGAAGGTCCTTTTTGCGCGGGCTCACACGGGACAGATTCCAGCGTCCTCTGTCACCTAAGCGTTAAAAACGTGGGACGTTCTTCTGAGTCTTCACAACACCCCTGAGGTAGGCGGTATTGACCCCATTCTCGATGGGGAGGTCTAGGCACGGAAAGGTAGTGGCTCCTCGGAGCCGCGGGTCTGTGCTCCACGGCGGTCCTGGCGCTGCTGCTGCCGCCGCCGCCGCCCTGTGCGGATCCCACAGACCACGCTCCTGTCTGGTCCAGGTTAAACGAGGGTCTTCACAGCTCTGTGTTTAGGCTCCTACAGACAGCCACTCTCCCTGAACTGGAAAGACAAAGCTAGGACTGACTCTCGGTCGGGACCACCTGCTCTACGTAAGACTCTCCCCAGCCGCCTGCATTGTGCGGCTGTGCGAGCGCTCACACCCCTCTGGAAGCCCGTGTGGAGTGGCAGCAGGGACGATGAAATTGAGAACAGAACATAAAAACCAATAGTTAATAGATTTGAATCAAACATAAAACTACACACTATGGTAAAGGAAGAATAGACCCCAATGGGCACAGAGCAGCACTTCCTGTGTGACCAGGCCTCGCCCAGAGCAGGCGTCCAGAAGGACACATCTCGGACATGCCTGCCACTGACGGCAGCCCCCACCGGGGAGACGGGCAGGGGCAGGAGCCGGAGGCCCAGGGGCCCGGGGCACCTGGTAACACAGCGCCGCCGGCCTGGGTGTGGATGCTTCCTTTCTGCCAAGTAAGAGTTGGAGCTGTTGACGCCGAGCCACTCATACAGACAGGTGTGTAAATAGGATAAGTATGTGGAGCGCCTCATCAGGACGTGTCTTTAAAACTGGACAGATGCTCACGGCCACGGAGGATGGGAATGGGAGGTTAGGGCTGTGCTGCTCGTGTTCCGTTAAAATGTGTCTCTAGCGCTAGAAGGCCGGGTGCCCACGCCCCTTCCGGCGGAAGAAACCTGGTTCTGAGTACGGGGTCCACCTCCCGGGGCGGGGGGCTGGTTACAGCCCAAACCTGGCGAGGCCTCACGGGGCCGCTGGGCCCCTGCAGCCCGGCTCGCCTGGCGCACTGCTGACATTGCCGTTAATCTGCTCCTAGTTCACCTCATCCTCGTCCCACCTTGATTCAGCCCGGGAACAGACTGCTCAGGGAAGCTGGGGAGGGTCCTTTGGTCCTAAGGCCTCTGACCTTTGGTCTGTGGGGATGTCCCGAAGAGGAAGTGGTGAGTATAAAGTGGCCGGCGGAGGCCGTTCTGTCCGGCTGCGCAGAGTGGAGGCGCCGCGCCGAGGCCCCGGGGTCATAGCTCCACCTTGACCCCCTTGATGAAGGGCAGGCCCGTGGGCACCCGCTTCTTGTACTCCAGGTACTCCTCGCCGAAGAAGTGGATCAGCGAGATCTCCTCCTCCTCCGTCCGGTCGCGGAAGAACCGCCACACGGTCAGCGCGTAGCCCACGCCGCAGATGGGGTTGCACAGCATTACCTGGTGGGGACACGGGCTGGTCAGGGCGGAGACCCACACTGTGGGCAGGAGCGGCACCTGCTTGTCGGACCCACAGGACTCCCTGCCAAGGGCCCGAGAGACTCTCGAAAAAGATGAGATGAGGTGTCCAGCCGGTGTGGCTCAGGAGCTGAGCACAGACCTACGAACCAGGAGGTCACGATTAGATTCCTGGTCAAGGGCAAACATCAGGGTGGCGGGCTCATCCCCAGTAGGGGGCGTGCAGGAGGCAGCCGATCCATGATTCTCTCTCATCATTGATGTTTCTCTCCCTCTCTCACCCTTCTTCTCTAAAATCAATAAAAAATTTTTTTTTATATAAATAATAGATAGATAGGACCAACAACCTTGCAAATACACAGAAGCCCACTGAATGGTACACTGTGAACTGGTGGGTTTTATGGTAAGTGAATTATATGGCAAATAAAAAAACATTTGAAGAACACTTAAAGGAGGCCAGGGTGACCGCTGACACTTTACCTGGGTTCCGATACTCCAGTAAAACCAGCCCACGTAAGAAGGGTGCCGGAACCAGGCGTACACTCCGCTCGTCACCAGCGTGTGCGTTTCTGATTTTTCATTCTGCACCACGTGGTTGAAGTTGGAACCAGCCGTAAACATCGCTGCTTTCCTCAGGCATTCTCCGAAGACCACCATCAGCAGGCCCATGGCACTGAGCCAGGTGACCTGCTTCAGTTCTGTGGGGACACGTGACAAACAGACCTGAGTCCTCCCTGCGGATGCTTACACGAATCTGTTTTTCCAAGACAGGAACCGAGGACCGCGCTGGTTGGACAATCAGCATTTGTCATCAGGTTAAAGTTTCAGTATAAGCAAAACACACGCCCCTAAGTTGTGCTGTTCATCCATTTAAGGTGCCAGCAACCAGCCCAGCTGGTGTTGCTCAGTGGTTGAGTGTTAGCTCAGGAACTGAGGTAGCTGGTTCGATTCTTAGTCGGGCACATACCAAGCAGGAGGCATACAGGAGGCAACCGATCGATGATGTTCCTCTCTCATTGATGTTTTCATCTCTTGATTCCTCTCCCTCCCTCCCTCTCGAAAAATCAATAAAAATATATTTAAAGGGCCAGCTACCCAGTTAGAGCATCACAGGAAAGAGTTGCTGGGCTCTCGTCCGTGCCCCCTGCCACACACTCCTGTCCTTCCCCGGGGGACAAGGACAACCAAGGAAGCCCGGCAGGACCTGGCGCTCCCGCTTCGGCCACACACTGGCTCCTGGAACTTCACTGTGTGGTTAACGAGCTGTGGGAGGGCCACCCGGGAGCAGGCCCGGGGGCAGTGGTTTTTGCTAATAAATCTCCGTGCGGAATGTCTCGGCCACAGAAAAGCCATGGGTCCAAGTCTCCTCCGACTGCGAAGTCAGGGTGGCAGCCATCAGAGGGAGGGCAGCCATCAGAGGGCGCACTGCACTCAGCAAGGCTTAGCGCAGAGGTCGCCGTGCCCTCGGCCTGAACATCCAGAAGCGGACACGCAGTCCGGGCCTCTGTAAAGAGCTTAGCGAGGACTGAGGTCAGAGGAAATCACCGGGGAGATTAGATCTGAGAGGAGCCCCCGGACTCACTGCCATGACGCCTGCGTGGCAGCCGCCCCGCCCCTGGGCGGACAGGCACTGACCTGGCCAGAGCAGGTTCTCCAGGGTGAACTCGACCCACGAGGACAGGGCCGCCACGGTGTACTCCAGGCTGTGGTTCAGCAGGAAGGAGTCCAGGGACAGGCTCTTGGGATTGTTGACCGCCGTGACCAGGTACTCAGAATAGTGGAACAGGGACAGCGAGCACATGTACCTGTTCACAACCAAGGAGAGAGGGGTGCAACTTGAGTTTTGGGGGAGAAATTTTAAAAAGAGAGAGAGGTAACGGGGGCAAAGGAATCGCACCATTCCCAGGACAGGTTCCGGGCTGGGAGACCACCCCCGGGCCTATGAGGAGGCCCCGGGAGGGTCACCTGCTCAGTAGGGTTCTATGGAAGCGAGGTGTCTGCCTCAGGCTCCCATGTCACTCCCTCAGGTTTGCACAGTGACTGGGTTTTATGGGGTTTTAAGATTCTTTATTGCATTTATTTGTATTAGAGAGGAGAGGGAAAGAGAGAGAAACATCCATGTGGGTTGGCTGCCTCCTGCACACCCCTTCAGGCATGTGCCCTGGCGGTATTCCATCCAGCCAAACCGGCCAGTGCACAGGAGGCCGCCCACCCAACCGAGCCACACCGGTGTGGGCAGAAGGGGTTCTAAAGGAACTACACGTTTGCTGTCATAGGCAAAACAAACAAAAACAAGTGGACAGGAAGGCATGATGGCTCCTTCAGGCTTTTAAAAATCACACCACACACAGTAAAACATGAAAGTGGGCCCTGGCTGGTTTGGCTCAGTGGATAGAGCGTCAGCCTGTGGACTGAAGGGCCCCAGGTTCAATTCTGGCCAAGGGCACATGCCCGGGTTGCGGCCTCAGTCCCCTATAAGGGACATGCAGGAGGAAGCCAATCAATGATTCCCTCTTATCCTTGATGTTTCTCCCCCCCACCACACTCTTTTTCTCTGAAATCAATAAAAATACATTACAAAAAAAAAGTTAAAAAAAAGAAAGTGGGAACTAGCAAAATAAAGTAGCAATGTATGTCAAACACACACACACAAAAACAAACTGAATCAGTTCCAGCAACAACGAATGAGACGGATCGGCGCTGATAACAGGAGACAGCGCCCTTTACCTGGAAGCCGGGTGCTTGTGTCAGGGCCAGAGGCTCAGGGGCTGAAATCAGTGCAGGGAAAAGTCCCAGCCTGGCCGTGGGGGACGCACTAGGTGTGACCTCACAGAAGGAGAGATCCAAGGGGCCCCTTCCCCCAGGAGCCACAGCAGCCTCCGCTGCAGGTGTGGGCACCTGTGGGGAGGGTGCCAGGCAGACCTGCTTCTGACCGACCAACGGGCACAAGTGCTCCAGGTCCCAGGTGTAGGAACCAGGTGGAAGGCAGACACCTGCTTCCACAGAACCCTACCGAGCAGGTGACCCTCGCGGCCGGCAGGCTGAGGCATGGGGCCCGCACCGCTCCCGGACAGCCAAGGGGAGACACGGGGCGACGGAATGCCACGACTGCCCTCTGCTCTGCCACCCTGGCCTCAACCCCGCTGCTCCGAGGACCCTCTTACCAGCCAAAGTGATCCCAAGAAGACTGGCTGAAGCTCAGCAGCACCCCGCAGCCGAACACGAAGCCCAGGAAGCAGGCTCGCACAGCGATCTGCAAGAGACCGGAGCCCTCACCCGCCGCTCTGCTCCGGGACCCGCGGGCCGGGCTCGCACCCGGTCTGGTTAACAGCCCAGCCCAGCACTGCTGCCGGTGTGGCCTCGGGCAGTTACTTAACCTCTCTGGCCCCCTTTCCCCGTCTGTGCAACAGGGATGACAGCAATAGCTACCTGTGAGCACTGCCGGGAGGACTGCCCGTGAGCAGCACGTAAGAGCACAGGCTAGATAAGTTTCTGCGGCCATCACTAATGATTGCTGCTATTATCCTCCAGGGCTGAGGGCAAACTGTGACCCTGATGCACTGGGAGGGTTCTCCCCGGTCCCCGCAGCGAGTCCCGGCCGAGCACCCGGCACTGCGCCCGGCCCCTCCACGGAACTGCGGGGCCTCTGACCTCGGACTAGCCAGCGGGCAGGTAGGTGCCCACACCTCAAATTACATAAAAGGACTCGGGGTTTTAACCGGACTGGGCGCTCCCTGCTCACCCCGCGCGCCTCCGCCGCAGCTGCCGAACCGCACCAACTGCGATTCCGTACCCGCCCCGCCGGAGGAGGGCCCGGCCCCGCGCCCCTGAGCCCGGCGAGGCCGGTCCCCGCTGCCGCCGGGTGACCCGGCCACGGAGCGCTCCGGGGAAGGCGCCCCGCTCCGGGCCCCCGAGGACGCCGCCCGCCCGCCCGCCCGCCGGCCCCCGGCCCCCGGCCCCCGGCCCGGCCGCACCTGGTAGCGCGGCGGCCGGTAGAGCAGCAGCAGCAGCGCGTTGAGCCCGGCCACGTAGAGCGCCAGCGCCGTGCGGCCCTGCAGGCCGGCGCGCGTGAGCAGCGGCAGCGCCAGCACCGAGGCGCCCAGCAGGAAGGCGGCCAGGCTGAGCCGCGCCTCGGAGCCCGGCGGAGCCCGCGCCGCGCAGCCCGCCATGGCGCCGGCGGCCGACAGCGGGCGCGGCGCCGGCCGTAGCCCCGGGAAACCCGCCCGCCGCGCCTGCGCGCCGCGCCGCGCCGCCGACGCCGGCCGGGAGGAGCCGCGGGAGCCGCGAGCCGCCGGGAGCTCTCGCGATATCGCCGCGCTGCCGGGCTGCGGCCGGAATTTGGAAGGAGCGCCCCGCTCCTAAGCCACGCCCCTCTCATAGGCCCCGCCCACATCTGCCCGCCGATGACACGCCCCCCTGGCGGCCCCGCCCCCGGCCTCCCGGGCCCGCGCGGCGGCCGAGTCCCCGCCGAATTCCCGAATCCCCTGAAATACGGAGCGACCCACGCTCGGCGGCCCCGCGCACGCCGCCCCCGAAGTCTCACCTGCAGCCGCTCGCGGGGCCGATCCCGTCCTCCACGTCTAGGGGACCGGGCGCGGGGGTCCCACCGGCCCTCAGCGGGGCCCCGACGCCCCCTGGAGCCCCCGCAGCGCCGCCTGGGACCTGCCCGTGGGCACCCTAAGCGCGGAGGACCGCCCACTTGGTCGATGGCGGAACAATCAGGATGATGCTACGTTTTTAAAAGGTGGAGATCAGGACTTGACTGTGTGATCTTGATTTCCTTTGGGAACAACAGGATCATTTTTGTGACTTAAAATGATGGAAATAGAAGCCAACATTATGTAACGGCGGTTATCTGCAGGTGGTAAAACTCGGGGCGACTTGGATTTTCTTCTTTATAGGTGTTTGTATTTTCCATATCGCCCACAATCAACTTATAGCACTTTAAAAAATATTTTTCTTGATTTCAGAGAGACAGAGAGAGAGATCAGTGATGAGAATCATCCATCGGCTGCCTCCTGCACACCCCACACTGGGGATCGAGCCCGCAACTCGCGCAGGTGCCCTGACCGGGAATCGAACCCTGACTTCCTGGTTCGTAGGTCAATGCTCAACCACTGAACCACGTCGGCCGGGCACCTTATATCACTTTTATGGTCAGAAATTGTCTTTTACTTTTTAAAGGGTTAATAGTGCCCCCGACCCCCGGGAGTGAAGAAGCAAGGGTGCAGGAGAAAGGCATGTCCACAAAGGACAGAGAGCCTGTGGGGGGTGAGAGTGGGGAGGCAGCAGGTAAGGACAAGAGAGAGAGAGAGAGAGAGAGACCCTGGGGAGGGGTTAGGGGAGGGCTCCGGGGCAGAGTCTGCCTGAGGAGACGCTGCCACTAGGTCGTGGGGCCCCTGGGACCTGGCAGCCCGCCTGCCGCTGGAAAGGAGAACAGGGTGTCTAAGGGTAGGAGGGAGGGTGGCACAGTGGCGGGATAGGGGACAGGCCCCAGGGGAGCGGGAGCCCCGAGTCCTGGGCCAGACGTCAATGAGGCCGGGCGGGCTGTGAGCTGCCATCATCCGGCACCACTCTCCTCTGTCCCCACAGGACCCGGCGGGACGCCTGCGTGCGGGCAGCTGGGCTCAGGGAAGGATGGAGCCGGCGCTGGACCCGGGCCCAGGGCTGCTGTGGTCCAGCGTTGTGACCTCGGGCAAATCAACTCTCACAGTTTGTGTAAAAAATGTTTCTGTAAAAACCAGGGGTCCTGATTTCACAGGCCTAATGCCAGGTTCATGTGGTGCTCAGAAGACAGGTGCTAACCTCGGTTAGTTAGAATTAAAAGGAGTTTTAATGCTTCAAAATCCAAAGTCGGCCGGCGCCACGTGGGAAAGAGGCCTGGGTTTATGTTAAACTCCTCTCCTGCCTCTGCCCCAGTTTATCAAGGTCTCCCCCAGACTCAGCACTTCCCCTCGGTGCCAGGAAGCTTTGAGGCCACTAGGGGGCGCTCATTTCATCTTTGGTCCAGGGGGTGAGTCTGGCCCTGGGGCAGAGAGCTCTCTGGAACCTCCATCTCTGGCCATCGATTCTCTCTCCACGCTGAGTTACGGCCGTGGATTCCCCCGGGGCCATCCCCACGCTAGGGGCACTGAGTAATGTGACTCACTTTGGAGGGCCTCCCCTCTCCTCTGCCATCACTGCCCCTAAACCCTACCAGCCCCGTCCCGGAGAAGTTGAAAAGAAAGTCCCCTCCTGCATAGGGCCAGACGGAGAATTTCTAAAAGTCACTGGAGTGGCTGAACTTATCAGGGCCCACGGGCCAGGGATGGAGGAGAAAGCAAAGCAAATCTATTCACACTGACACTGACATCGGCCCAGAGAGATACACACAGACACACACAGACACACAGAGAAACAGACACAGAGAAACAGACAGGAACACACAGACACACAGAGATACACACAGACACACAGAAACTGACAGACACACAGGGGATACACACAGACACACAGAGATACACACAGACACACAGAGATACACACAGACACACAAAGATACACACAGACCGGCTTTCCCTCCGGGAGGAACGTGATCTAACACACCAGCCTGCACCCAGCCCACAGAAAATAGAAGAAAATGCAGGAAAGCTGCTCAGCCCCGGATGCCCCGCTTGCCTCTTCTTGTAAATAAGCATTTGAATGTGTTTGTTCTAAGCTGTGCGGCCAGCACAGAGGGCGCTCTTTCTCCTGCAGGAGGGCCCTCCCTCCGTCCCCTCCTCCATCCCTCAGCCCCAGCAGGGTCCCTCCTGTTCAAAAGAGCCCTAAGAACCACTTGGCTTCTCCCAGTTAACCTGCAGGCTGAGATAAAAGTAAGGTTCCCTTTCTTAACAGATCACTAGTTCTTTAAAAAAGTATATTTTGCCGAAACCGGTTTGGCTCAGTGGTAGAGCATCGGTCTGCGGACTGAAAGGTCCCAGGTTCGATTCCGGTCAGGGTACGTTGGCTGCAGGCACATCCCCGGTAGGGGGTGTGCAAGAGGCAGCTGGTCCATGTTTCTCTCTCATCGACGTTTCTAGCTCTCTATCTCTCTCCCTTCCTCTCTGTAAAAAATCAATAAAAATAAAAAAAGTATATTTTATTATTGTTGTTTTTTTACAGAGAAGAAGGGAGAGGAGTAGAGGGTTAGAAACATTGATGAGAGAAACATCGATCAACTATTTCCTGCACACCTCCTACCGGGGATGTGCCCGCAACCAAGGTACATGCCTTTGACCGGAATCGAACCCGGGGACCCTCCCGTGGGTAAGCCGATGCTCTATTCTCTGAGCCAAACCGGTCAGGGCAAGGATCACTAGTTGTTGAGCAAGAGAGAGTGGGCTGCAGCAGGGAGCTGCAAGGCTAGGCCTACCCAAGCACCTCAACCCACATCAAGCTTGGCACCAAGTAGGAAAACGTCAGGGAGGTGGGCCTGTCCCCCACCTCTGTGTGTGGGTCCCCAGTCATGGCTGTCACTCACAGGCTCCTCCAGTTCCCACGTGAAGGTGGGAGTGAGGCTGTCCAGAGTGGCTGCAGCCCTGCGGGGGCGGGGAACTCTTGGATCTCCGAAAGTTTTCTCTTCCCACCCTGGGCCATTCTGGGCTCCAGGCCCTCGCGCCTCCTCTCTCTAGTCTGGAAACGGGAAGTGCCGGTAACTCACGAGCACATCAGCACAAAGCACCGGGTAAATATTTAAAGATCGGAGCCACAAAGGGGGCTGGCACAAAGGCCGGGACAATGGCTCTCCGGAATGCTCTCCCATGGCCGGCCGGCTGGCGCAGGGTCCATGCACTCGCCGCGGTCCCAGCCTTTGTGCCTGGAGGACCCTTGGCGGCGAGCTATTGGGAGCCCCAAGCAGCTAAAAGGAGTCAAACAATCGTGGCCTCTCCAACCCCATCGGGAGACAATTGGCTGAGTCATTCCAGCGCTTTCGCTGTGTCCCCAGAGTTAATTACATGGAGCAATCCCTCCATTCCGCTTTGAAATGCATCTGCGTGGGCGGGGCAGCACTCACCCGTGATGGGGAGGAGGGGGAGCGGGCCTGGGCTGCAGGGAGGAAGGGGTTCCCGCCAGGCAGGAGGTGCCCAGGGCCAATAGGGCTCTGGTCCCCAGGCCTGCAAACCCCTCCCTACCTCGTGTCCACACCTGACTCGGTCTGCAATTTTTATTTATTTATATACCTATTTATCTATTTGCTTGTTTGTTTATCTATTTATTTGTTTTTGTTGTTGCCGAAGTCAAGAAGGCCAGCCCAGCTGGCAAGGGTCAGTGGTTGAGTGTTGACCTCAGAACCAAGAGGTCACAGTTCCATTCCTGCTGGGGGATGTGCCGGTTTGTGGGCTCCATTCCCAATTGAAGGGGGGGGGGCGTGCAGGAGGCAGCTCATCAATGATTCTCTGTCGTCATTGATATTTCTCTCTCTCCCTCTCCCTTTCTCTCTGAATCAATAAAAAATATATTTTTTAAAAGTCAAGAAAGCCTGGCCGGTTTAGCTCAGTGGATAGAGTGTCCGCCTTTGAACTGGAAGGTCCCAGTTCGATTCTGGTTCGATTTGGTTCCCGGCACATCCCCGGTGTGCAGGACGCAGCGGATGTTTGTTTCTCTCTCATCGATGTTTCTGATTCTCTATCCCTCTCCCTTCCTCTCTGTAAAAAATCAATAAAAATATTTTTAAATCGATAAAATATATTTAAATAAATAAATAAACGTCAAAGCCGGCTTTAACCGGTTTGGCTCAGTGGATAGTGTGTCGGCCTTCGGACTCAAGGGTCCCAGGTTCGATTCCAGTCAAGAGCACGTACCTTGGTTGCGGGCACATCCCAAGTGGGGGTGTGCGAGAGGCAGGTGATCGATGTTTCTCCCTCATCCATGTTTCTCTCTATCTCTCTCCCTTCCTCTCTGTAAAAAATCAGTATATATTTTTTAAAAGTCAAGAAAGCCAAAGGGGAGAGAGGAGGGCAGAGACCCCGTGCTCTTGGCCTTACAGGCCCAGCGTGGGGAAGCAGGACCCCGTGCGGCGCCTCGAGCTAGGAAGAGACCGGAGCCCTCACCCCCTGAACGAGCAGGCAGCCTCGGGCCTCCCCACCCCCACCCCCACGCTCGGCCTGGACCCGGATCCCAAAGACCAAGGGGCTGGTGGCCCACACCCCCGCTTGCAGAGCCCGGCCTAAGGTGGCCCAGCCCTTCGCTTTGTCCCGAGTGCAGTCTGAGAGGACTTGGGGTGAACCCTGGCGCACCCCCACTTCGGAAACGCCTCCCCCGCCCCTGCGCGCCTCGCGGGCCAGGCCTGCGGGGTGTGCGTGGGCCTGGCCAACAGCCAGAGACGGCGGAATGGAGCCCCAGCCCGGGGTGGGGAGGGATCTCGGTGGAGACCCGTTTAGGACCCTCTCCCAGGGCGTCCCTCTAACTTAGCCGGGAAGTGGCTGCCCACAGGAGCCCGAATTGGGGTCCAGTGGGGAGGGGTGGGGGTCGCTGTCTGCGAGTCCGGAGTCTAGGGGAGGGGAAGCGGGGAGAGTAGATGGATCAGCCCAGGCGGCAGGACCCCGGCGAGAGGGCGTGCGGAGGGCGGGGTGCGGCTCGGCGGGCGCGCCCTCTGGGGGTAGAGGTAGGGCTGGGGTGGGGGTGGGGGTGGGGGTGGGGGTGGGGTGGGGCTGCGGCGGCTCGGACGGGGAAGGGGCAGAGGCGGGTCTGGAGCCCAGGCGCCCGCCGCCGGCCTCGCCCGGGCAGCCCGAGCAGAACGTTGCGAATTAGAGCATTTTGCGGTCAATTTCCCACCCGTTAGGCCACCCCGAGCCGCCCACGTGAGCAGCCGGATGCTCGCGCCGCAGCTGGAGGGGGAGCGGGCCGGGGGCGGGGCGCCGGGGGCCTAACTCTGGAGAGCCCCCCCCTCTCCCGCTGGGGCCGGAGGGCCAGCCGCGGGCCATTGGGTTGCTAATGGCCGAGTTGAAAGGCGCGGCGGCGGCTCCCGGGCGGGGCGGTGATGGAGGACAAATTGCCGCGGCCCGGGAGCGGCGGGGGGGCGGGGGGAAGGGGGAGGAGTGCGGGTGTGGGGGGAGGGGTGCCCGGGAGCGGCGGGGGGAGTGCGGGGTGTGGGGGGAAGGGGGAAGAGGGGAGGTGGGGATGGGGCGCCAGGAGAGGCGCGCGCCCGGTCGGGGCAGATGTGCGGCAGCTGGAGGCCTGCGCGGCGGGGCGCCCGGAGCTTGGCCCGGAGGGGGCGCGGCTCGGTGGGGAGGCACAAAGCCCTCCACGCCCGGCTGCCCGCTTTGTGCCGCCGCCCGCCGGGGCGCCTGTGCGCCGTCACCGCCCCGGAGCGCGAGGAGGGGCCGGGAGCCGGCGCTTCAAAGCCGCCCGGCGCGTGCCAGCGCCTCTGTCCCGCCTGCCCGCCGCGCCCGGCCCGGCCCGGATCCCGCCGGGGTCCCTGCGGCCCGGGGTCCCTGCGGCGCGGGCGGAGAGAACCCTGAGCAGCTGTTGCTGCAGCTTCGGCCCGAAAGGAAGGCCGGGCGCCCTCCTCCCGCCTGGCGCCTGGGAGCGGGGCTGCCCGGGCCGGCCTTTCACATCTCCGGGCGGGGCCGGCGGGAAGAGAGGCCCGGCTGGAGGGAGCTCTGCGCAGGCCAATGTGTCCATCCCTCTGCTGCGGCTCCACTGCGGAACCCCAGTGCACAGACGCTGAAACAGGCTGAAACAGGCTGGGTCCAGGAAAGGGAGCTGCTTGAGTTCGAACCCAGTGTCTCCCCCAGACCTCAGCCTTCCGGTCAGCCTCAGCCCCTGCGGGCCTGCTCCTGGGGCCACACCCAGGCCTGCCCGAGTCCTCACGGGGCCAGCCACCAGGCAGGCCCTCCTTCCCTGAGCTCCGTGGTCGGAATAATGAGAAGAGGCTGGGGTCCCAGACCTGCAGAAGCCGCAAAGACGCTCCCCCAGGCGGGACAGGTTCCCTGAGCCTGAGTCCCACCTGCCCCGCAGCCCAGCCGGCGAGGAGGCTGGGAGGCCGGGCCTGCGGGCGGGCTGCACGCTCTAATGGGACACAGGTCCCTGAGCGGCCCCTGGGGCCCGGCCTGCGCCGGCTTTGAGCGCCACAGGCAGAAAATTGCTGCATTGTCGGGCATTAGGCCACCCCGGCCGGAGCGTGAAGCCCGTGGGAGGCCTGGCGGCGTGCTCCGGCCTCCGCATCTTCATCAGATCTCCTCAGGCCCAGGCCCGGCTCTGTCACAGGCGCTGGCAGGGCTCGTAGCTGGCTGTGCGACCCCAAGAACACTCAGAGGCAAGAGCAGCAGGACGAGGCAGGCGGGCCTGGTGGAGGGGCCAGAGCTTGGGGACACTGGGACTGGGACGGGACAGTCATGGGGGGAATGGGCCTGGAGGGGACCCCAGACGTAAGAAGCGGTGGGATGAGAGGATAAGGGAAGACTGGGGCAGGGGAAGGGGGGTTGCTGGGGAGGGCGGAGAGACCCTGGGGCAGAGCTGAAGCCTGGGCGGCGGGAGGGGAGGGGCAGGGGGAGGTAGGGAATTCACTCCGTGTTCCCCTCTCTTCCCCTCCCGCTCAGGGGTCCTGGAGCCCCCCATTGACATGTAAACGAGGGGCCCCTATAAAGGCTGAGCCGCCTCCCGCGGGCACGTACGTGACAACATGGGCACTGAGCCCGGGCCCCAGGGCAGCTCTGGGGGCCCTGCGGGCAGATTCCGAAAGGTCGGGGTGCTGAGGAGCTCGGGGTGGGGCTCTGCCCGCCGGAGGGGCAAAGGGCGAGAGGGCCATGAGCCCGCCCTCTAACGGCCCCTGGTCCGCAGGTCTCCAAGCCGCTGATGGAGAAGCAGCGCCGGGCGCGCATCAACTTGTCGCTGGAGCAGCTGCGGGCGCTGCTGGAGAAGCACTACTCGCACCAGGTGAGCCCGGACCGGCGGCCCGATCCACCCTCCCCTCCCGGCCGCGGGCTCCCCGCTGAGAGCCCTCCCGCCCCCCGCAGATCCGAAAGCGCAAGCTGGAGAAGGCAGACATCCTGGAGCTGAGCGTCAAGTATATGAGGAGCCTCCAGAGCTCCGTGCAAGGTAGAGGGGGCCTGGGAGGCGGGGGTGGGGGGAGCCCTGGTACCCCAGGGCCAGATCGCAGAGGGGCGGTGGAGAGGAAGGCGCAGGGAGGTTTGGGTAGCAGAGGAAGAGGAAGGCGCAGGGAGGGGGCCGCCGGGTGAGGCGGGGCCAGACCACTGGGGGCGGGAGGCAGCCGAGGCGGGCGGGCTGCGGAGTTGTAATCCTAGTGGAAGGCGGTCTGGACGTTCAGGCGGCCTCGTCTCCCGCCCCTCCCTGCTCTTCCTTTCCCCTCCCCGCTTCTCCCCTCCCTTCCTCCCTCTTCTCTACATCCCCCCCTTTTCCTCCTCCTCTTCCCCCTCCCCTCCCCTCCCTTCCACCCCCCTCTCCCCAGGGCTCTGGCCGGTCCGCAGCGGCGCCGAGTACCCGCCGGTCCCCCGCGGCTGTCCGGCGGGCGTCTGCCAGCCCCGGCGGCGCGGGGAGGACGGCGGCGGGAGGACGGCTCCGCGGGGGCCGGCGCGCGCGGCGGGCAGCACCATGGACAGCGCCGGCCCCCGCCCCGAGGCGCCCGCCACGTGGGCCCCTGATCCGGGTGCTGGCGGCTCGCGGGGCCCGCCACCCCGGCTCCTCCCCGGCGGCCTCCCCGGCCCGTCCACCGACCTCCCGGCGCCGCAGCCGGCGCCCCGTCACTGCGCCCAGAGCCCGGGGCCCGGGCTGCGCCTGTGGCGGCCGTGGTAAGGCCCAGGCGTGGCCTCGGATTCCGGGGTCCCCAGTCCAGTCTGCGGCGCAGACACAGCTTGGGGCGCGCCCGTGAGACCACCCGGACCTCAAACGTCCGTCCCGGCCCCGCGGGGAGGGTGGCCGGGGGGTGCCCCGTGCCCGAGAGAGAGCGCAATGAGACGCGCGGAGCCTCGGTGGACCCGGGTCTGCGCTTCTAGGCAGCATCTGCCCCCGGCCCGGCCTCACCTGCTCAGGCAGGACCTGCGCTCCCTCCTCCCGCCCGAAGGGGCCGGGCGGTGTCCTGGGCGCCCCTCCCCAGGCCCCGGCGGCAGCCCGCCCCCGCCCCTGGCCGCCGCGGTGGGAAGGCCGCGCCGGCTGCGCGCAGAGCAGACCCCTCGCGGCGAGGAGAATCGCGGCCCCGCCCCGGCCCATTCAGCCGCCTGGGGACGCCCGGTTCCCACCGGCGCAAAGGGCGAGGGGCCCCAGCATCCCCCGCCCCGAACTTCTCTGCTCCCTCGGACCCCACCCCCTCCGCGCGCAGCCCCCTCGGAGCTCCTCCTCGGCCGCGAGCTGCTCGCCCACCACCCCGCCACCCGGCGCCCTATTTGAGGGGGGCTGGGAGGAAGCCGAGCTCCTCTCCCGGGAGGGCCCCCTTTCCCACGCGGCACGGACCCCGGCCCCGGCTCCGCAGAGCCCCGCCTCCGGGTTCCGGGCCGCCCAGAAGCCTGCATCCTCCCACAGCCCCCGGGGGGCTGGGCACCTGTTCCCGGGGTCCCAGCACACGAGGGGGCCCTGGGGGTTGGGGACGGGGTTCTCCGGCTGGGCCCAGGAGGAGATTCTGACACCTCCTTCCCCAGTTTGAAATAAATTCAGAATAAAGACAGTGCGAACCTGAGAAATGGGTTCTCCTCTACCCCACGCGGCCCACCGAAGTGCAGCTTTTTGAATTGCAAATAGCAACTTTGTCTAAAATTTTTTCCCTTTTAGGCTGCCCCTGTGCTGCTCGTGTGCTAAAAACCCACACAGGTCAGATCATGGCGGGGAGAGCGCGGCCGGGCCCCCCACCCCAGCCAGCCGGGTCTCGGGGCGAAGGTGGGGGCGGGGTTCCGGGCTGTAGGGGTTTGGGGGCGGCCTGTCCCCCCTCTCCAAGGTGGGATCTCGGCTTCCCACCTTCCTCCATGTGGCTGGTGACCCCAATACCTCCTCTGGACACCAGGTGGCGATCTCGCATCGCAGACCCAGGAAGCGGCTTCCAAACCCCAGCCCGGGCCAGGGGTGTGGTCCCCCGACACTCTGTGTCGCCACATGCCACATCCCGTGCCACATCCCGTGCAGTAAGAAGGGGCAAGCCCACCCCCCAAGAATGCCGCTAGTAGAGGAATTTGAGAGGCACGTTTGGGGGCAGGCGGCCAGGTGGGTGCTGTTAGATCCTAGGAAGGTGTTTTCTGTGAAACCAGCATAGAAATGCGAGGTGCAAATCACAGGAGGTTTTATTGGGTCTGTACAGAGAGAAATGCCTTGTTGTCAAAAACCAAAAAAACCAAACGGATCCCTGGCTTTGGGCTGGGGGGGGGAGGGGTATGAAGACAGAACCCTCCCCCTTAAGCCCAGGGTCAGGCTGCTGTCAACGCAGCCACGGGGCCTGGGCTGCACGAAGTGTGAGAGGGATCCTGCCCCCAGGGCCCTGCGCTTGGGGTCCTCCCTCTTATTTTTTGTAAAAACCAGGAGTAGAGAGACTCTGGGGTGCCATGCCCCCCTGTAAGTATTGCTGCTGGATAGGAAAGTAAAAACCCCAAGGTGACCAGTGGGCCAGCCTGAGGGGGGAGTGGCTAGCCGACGACCTCACGATGGGTCAGTCCTAGAAGGCACGCAGTCCCCTGCCTTGCTCGCCCGTGGCCACCTCAGGGGCCTCAAGGCAAAGACAGAGCCAGGCAGTCCCTCCTCCCCCTCCCAGTGGCCTCCCCTGGGGCCGGGCCCAGTCTGGGGTGTGCGGAGGGAGGCCTGGCCCCAGGAGGGGCAGGGGCAGAGCGGAGGGAACGTGAGCAGCAGGCTCCGCGCTGACCCAGGCCTGCTCCAGGCTTCCTGTGTCCAGGCCGCTGCATGAAGGCTGGGGCCAGGGCGTGGCAGCCTCTGCACTTGCCCTGTCTGCCACCCAAGGTCACAGCTGCTCGGGCCTCTCCTCAGCCTGTGGCTAGGTGCTTCCCCCAGGCCTGCGAAGGGTCTGTCAGGAGGGAGAGCAAAGAGCCCTGTTCACGGGGGTGGGGGACCCCGGTCAGAAGCCAGGCCTTAACCCCAGAACCTGGGAGGCTGTGGGCCCCACCTGTAGGGCGGGGGACGGGCAGAGTAAGGAAGCCCACTCCTTCACGTCAGTCTGTCCCACCAGGTACCCACGCTGCCGGGTGGTAGTCAGAAGTGGCCACCGTGTGGGGACAGGCAGTGAGGACATAACAGTGGCGGGTGTGTGTGGGTGTGTGTGTGTGCGCCAGTGGTGAGGATGTGTGTGTTGTGCTTTAGTTGGGTGTGGGGTGAGTGCCCCAGGGGCCAGGGGCAGAGAGCAGGACGCCGCAGGCCTGGGGCCGCGGCCCGAGACTGCCTCTCCTGCCCTGTGCGCTCCGTGGTCGGAGCGATGGAACCAGCACTTCTTCGTCCTGAGAGTGACCTGGTCACCTGCCTCACGGGGGGGACACAGAGGCAGGACCGGCAGGGAGGCTGCTCTGAGCTTGGACTTGGGCCCGAAGACCCTGTGCTTAGACCTTCGCGCCCACCGCAGAGGCCGGACGGGTCAGTGCCGGGTGGAGAGCAGCGGTCCGTGGCTCCCCTTCCTGCAGAGCGGGGCTCCCTTCTGTCTGGGGGTGTCCTGTCCTGGGGCTCCCCTCCTGGAAGCGCTGGGCACGTGCAGAGCCTCCTTTGCCCAAGCCCAGTGACCAAGCGCCCAGCGCCGCAGCCAGGGCAGCTGTCCCTCCGAGCAGCGACCACATCATCCATCAGCCCGGGACAATGCTTCGCCCCAGGCCCGGCCCTGCCCTGAGCCTGGGGGCAGTGGGCATCTTTGGTGCTTTGGTCCCAGGGCGGCCTAGGTCGCCGAGCCCAGCGAGTCCGAGTGCAGCGTGACGTAGCCCGAGGACTCGGACGGCGAGCTCAGGACGCTGCTGGCGCTGCCGCCGCCCGCCGCGTGCAGGCCCGCGGGCTCGGTCCACGACGCGCTCGGGACCCTCTGCAGGGGCCGGGCGTGCGCATGCGCGGCCGGGGACGGCCCGGGACTGCGCCGCGCGCCGGGGCCGCCAGGGGGCGCCGCGTCCTCGCCGGGCGGGGCGGGGCCCGGGGCGGCGGGGCCCGGGGCCGGCGGGCGGCGCAGGGCCTGCGGCTCCCGCTCGAAGGCGGTCAGCGCGAAGGCCTCGGGCAGCCGCGAGGCGGAGGCGGCGCGGGCGCCGGGCCCGGGGCGGCGCGGGCCGCCGGGGGGCCGCGGCGGCAGCAGGCTGTCGGCGGAGCGGCGGCGCGGGCGGAACGGGGGCGCGTCCTCCGGGGCCCGCGGGCCGTCGCGGCGCCGGTGCGGCCCCAGGGCGGCCAGGGTCTCGCCGGAGCCCCAGCGCGGCAGGAAGGCGGGCAGCACGGCCCACAGGCCCGCGTCCTCGTGCGAGAAGCGCCGCGCGGGCGGGACCTGCGGGGACGCGGGGTTAGCGGGAGCCGCCAGCAGACGGGCCCACGCGGGGCAGGGCGCCTGTGGGTCAGCCACGACCACACCTGACCTCTAAGCGCAGGTGCCAGTCCCTCTGAGGCCCAGTGTCCACCTGGGTGGTGAGGACACCCCTGGATTGGGGCGCCAGGCGGACACTCCGGAGCCCCGGGGTCGGGGCAGGGCCCAGGGTGCCCCCGCACAGGCCCCCCCTCGGGCTGCCCGTCTGGAGGTGCAGCCACTGGGGCTGGCAGGCTGGAGAGGCGCTCAGAGGGGAGAGGCCCGGGACCAGGGACAGGATGCCCGCCCGGCCCTACCTGCAGGTACTGCATCTTGTCCTCCTGCAGGGGCACCAGGGGGTAGAAGTGGGGCAGGCCCCCCTCCAGCGGCAGCTCATAGCTGGCCATCGGGTCCAGGGCCACAAAGTCGCCCCCGCAGCTGTAGTCCAGGGAGCGCTCCAGCACCAGGTCCTGGGGCAGGCCCCCCTCCAGGCTGGTGTCTGCAGGGCGGGGGAGGCTTAGGGTCAGGGGTACCAGAAAGCCAGCCACGGTCCCCCACAGGCACACACAGGGCAGAGGGCTGGTTCGGGGGGGAAGAGGAGAGGCAGGGTCCTGGGTACAGATCCTGATTCCCCACCTTTTTCAGCTGTGGGGCTGGGGCTGGGGCTCGGGAGCCATTTTCTTGTCAGTGGGGCTGCAGCCTCAGGACTTAAGTACCCACAAGGGGCTGGCACATAGCAGGGTCTTGGCTGAGATGTTTGGGGATGTTTAGGGCTGACAGTGGGACCTCAGTGCCAGGGGTGGCCGCCTTACCGTTATCCCAGTGACTCCAGGGACCGCCCCTGGTGCCCCCTCCTCAGGGGCCCTCTGGGGTCCTCACCGTCGTCCGAGTCCTCGCCGTTGGCCATGAGGGCGGCGCACTTTTCCCACACGGCCCTCAGGTCGGCGCGGTAGCGGGCGCAGGCCCAGAGGAACACGGGCAGCAGCAGGGCCTGGGCCACCGAGCACCACAGCACACACAGCACCATCCAGGGCGCCGCGGCGTCCGCCTGCAGGCTGCTGATGCTCACCACCTGTGGGCACAGGCTCGCCTGGCACCGCAAGACCCTCCACCGCTTCCCCTCCCAGACTCCTCCCGTCTGTGCCCGTCTGCCCGTCTGCGCCCGCCTCCCCATCTGTGCCCACCTGCCCGAGGGAGGGGGTGGCAGAGACAGCGCTGGACTCCGGGGCAGGAAGGAGGCAGAGGGTGAGGGCGGAGTCCCTGCCTGGGGGCTGCTGGCTGCCTCGGTACAGGCACAGCCCAGTGTGCCTGGCCCTGCGCCATGTGCCAGCAGCCTGGGCAGCCC